GCTGGGGTGGGGTTAGGAAGCTGGACCAGCAGAGGGCTCTTGGAGTGGAGCCACGGGTTTTGGGGCCATCTGCACTGGAAATGGGCCCCGGGGCTCTGCCTCTACCACCTTGAAGTCAGAGTCCTTCCGACCAGGGTCCCCTTCCTCCTGCTCTTTCTCTTTCCTGGGTTTTAACAGCTGTGCCTGTCGCTCCGCACCAGCCATGGGGGTGAGGAGGGGCCTGGTGCCACCACTTGGTATTCTGAACTGGAGAAGGAGGCATAGGATATGCTGAAGGAGAGGAGGCTAGCTGATGCTGAGGGCTGGGAACCCTTGCCAGGTGAATATTTACAAACACAGCTGCTCTCTTGGCAACACCAACACCACGGCTGATTCCCTGTGCTGCTGTCCCCCTCCCCCACGCCCCCTACCCACGCCCAATGCTGCTGCAACCACGGGAGCCTCCAGGGGGCAGGGAATGAGGCACCAACGGCTCAGACCCCAGGGACCACCAAGCCCTACACCAGCTTGACAGGGAAGGAGCAGAAGTCAGAAGAGGCCAAGGCCATGTTAAGTAATGAGATGAGACCAGACTCCCAGGCCCCGCCTCAAGCCAAAAGCCGGGTGACACAGGCTGGCTCTGAGGCCCGTGTCCTTAGAGGACCTGAATTTGCAGCTCTCCCCTCCTGTGGGTCCCGATCTGAAGCATTCTCAGGGCATGTGAAAGCACCCCTGACTGTCTGAGGTCGGTGAGCCTGCAGGAATGACACCCTCTGGTCGCTGCCCAGCCAGGAAGGGCACAGGCCCAGCCTTAGCACTGTAGGACCTGCAGTCACTTGAGTTGCCTCCTTAGGGTGGGCCCCTGAGTAGGAGCTTGGGGAGAAGTGGGTGGCCAAGCCCTTTTCCCACCACCCTCCAGTGTCCCAGGCAAGTGGGCCTCCTGGAAGGGAACCCAGCCGTGGGAAAACGGCAAGTTCATAATGTGAGGCCAAGAGGGAGCCCACCTATAGTGTGTGCGTGGCGAAGTGCAAGTGACGGGTCTGGTTGGCTTGTCCCCTGCTTACAGGCCCTGGTAGTTATGTGCTGCCCCCTACTGACCCCCCGACGTGGGCCTGGACTCTTCTGACCAGGTCTGAAGCTGGTTTTCTGTGGGTTTGCATGCTAAGTCACTTCAGTTGTGTCCGACTGTTTGTGACTCTATGGACTTCAACCTATCAGGCTCCTCTGTCCATGGGATTCTCCAGGCAAGAATACTGGAGTGGGTTGCCATGCCCTCCTCCAGGGGATCTTCCCAAGCCAGGGATTGAAGCCACATCTCTTACATCTGCCTGCATTGGCAGGTGGATTCTTTACTGCCAATGCCTCCTGGGAAGTCCTTTCTGTGGGTTTAGCACTGTCACAAAGGAGAGCATGAGTTGTGGGTGTGGATGGTACAGTGTAGGCAAGAGTTGGGCTGGCAGTGCAACACAAGGCAGTGGTTGGAGAGGCTGTAGTCATCTGGGGCTCAGGTCCTGGCTCCCCTGCTCACTTACTGCCCCTGTGAATGGCAGGTAACTTCTACGGTGGAGTCTCTGTGTCTCCACCTCATAAAGAGTTGAGGACCGAGCGGTACGGTATGGAGGCATGGACTCCCGGGTGTACCAACATTTCAGGGAGTTTACACAGGTTCTATTCTTCCCTCTCCTGGGGTCTGTGGTGCTTTGGTGATGACTGAAAGCTCCGCACATCCGGGAAACCAGCCTCAGACTTGTGGCCCTGAACCTAGTACAAGAGTTCATGGGCTCCAGACTTCATTTCCTGGGTATAATATTTAGTTTCCTAAGTGCTCCATGGTCTCCCTCAGCTCCAGCCTTTGCATACTTGCTTCCCTCTGCTTGGGACACCTTTCCTCTTTATCCTTCAGTCTCGGCATCAGTGCTACTTCCTGTAGGAAGTCTGCCCTGACTCTCTGGACCTGAGTTGGGCATCTTTTCTGGTGCCCTATGTCTGATCACAGCCCAAACTGCCCTCACAGCACTGCCCATTACCTCTTGGATCTCCCTGATGAGACTGTGGGCAGGCCCACATCTGGCTTGGCCCTGTGCCCAGCACTGAACTAGATCAGAGTGGGGCCATATGAGGGTCTGCTAGGTGAGTGAGTGGTGGGTAGATGGGTAAGTGGATGGATGGCTTAGTCATTCTTTTCTGTGCTCTGTGACAGCCCCAGCATTGCAACCAGTGCCCACATTTGGCTGCAGCCTGGGGCCTGCAAGGAACTGCCAAGGGCCAGGGACTGGTGGTGGTAAGGCATGTGTGTGTATGTTAGTTGCTTAGTCATGTCTGACTCTCTGCAACCCCATAGACCGTAGCCCACCAGGCCCCTCTGTCCATGGTATTCTCCAGGCAAGAACACTGGAGGTAGTAAGGCATACTTCCAGGGTTTTCCCTGAAACTTTTGGGACTACATAGTTGAACCTCAGGGCTGGGCAGGGACTTCTTGAGCCTTGGCCTCCCAGACTATGGAGTCAGTTGAGTCTGCTGTAGGAAACATCATTCAGCTCTCAGAACTCACCCAAGGAGCTAGTGGACATATCTAGATTTTCCACTATGTAGTGAGTCATTTTTTATCTGACAGGCCTGGTTGTAACTTAGTCTCTTATTTGCAGCTTAAGGAAGTAAATCTCCCAAGAAAGACAACTGGCCTCCTGCCCAGGGTCCTCCCCAGAGCAATTTTCCTTAGTGGATTTACCTTGTTCCATAGCCTGTCCTCTGCTTTGCTGATACAGAACCTTAATTTCACCAGTTTGCCAGCAGTCATTTGTTCCTGTGGGGTGACCCCCAAAACTGATCCAACTCAAGCAGGCTGCTGGTAAAACTGGATTTCTGGCTCAGGGACTCAGTGAGGATGCTATGGCTAGGTGGGGGATCGCTTCTCTCACCCAGACCCTGTGGGTGGTTGATGAGTGTAACCTGGGCTCACATAGCCTGCCATGCCATCCGTAGAGCATAAACCCCTGTGGGCCCGCGTACCTGGTTTTGGACACCTGAGTCCAGTGTATTTCGGCCTGGGCTGAACAGCCTCCTTGTTCTGACAAGCATACTGCTAGCCATCTCTTTAGTCCCATCATGCCTCTAGCTACACCACACCCAGGATGAGGAGCTTTACATGCCTCAGTGATACTGTCCCCATTTTAAAGATGGGGAAGGAGAGATCCAGAGAAGTGAGGTGTGCTCAACCTAGCATAGCTCACAAGCGAAGGAGAAGGGACTTGAACTCTGGAGCTTCGCCCACTTCCTCTGCAGTGACTTTGCACAGCATTGACCTCATCTTTGGTATGATGATGTTACAGTTCAGCACAGATGCCATTTATTGGAGTTTCAGCAGCTCTCTCCTCTCCTCAGGGTCAAGCATTTGCTATTTGGCTCATATCCTGTGGCTGCAGAGTAGCTGTTGCTGGCCTTTCTCACTCTTTCCCAAGAAGGGAAACAACAGTCATGCACCCCAGAGACGGGGGTGAAGGGCCAGTGCATGGCAGCCTGGAGCCCATGCAGCCCTCACTGGGCCAGCAGACCCTTAGGTGACATACAGCACTCCTAGCTTTGGGCCCTCTAGGTGGGCAGTGACACCAGGAAGGCCCCTGTGGGGGTAGAGCGTCCAGCACCTGGCCCACCCTCGCTGCCTTCCTCAGGCCTGGGCAGAGTGCAGACCCCGAGCCCAGCTAGCCGTGTACGTGTCTTGCCAGCACTACTTCACTTAGCAGCTAACAGGAGGACCTGGTAGCACTTGGGGGCTTCCCTTTTTGAGCCAAATTAAGCCACCAGCGCTTGTCACAGAAAAGCCTCCACTGGCCACCCTAGGGCATCTTCCATGTGCCCTTAGTAGGCCCACACTGTCCACTTGGACTGCATGCTTTATCCCATCAGGGCACCCTGACCACCATATGCATTGTCATGAGGGATGCTTGTGGTCCGTAGGAGGGACCCAGCACATTCCTGAACCCCTTCTCTCTGAGCCTTCATTCCTTTTCCTTCCCAGCAGCTTAACTCTCGCTCCCCTCTGTTGCCTCCTTTTTCCTCTGAACATTAGCCGATGGGATCCCAGGGAGCACAGCTCAGGGCCGTTGTTAATGGTGGGCCACCTCTTCCTCCCGCCGTTGGGTTCTTGGTCTGTGGTAGTGCGGAGCCACAGTGCATAGTGGTCAGCAGTCCAGGGCTGGAGAGCCGTGTCCGCACCTCAGCCTGGCTGCTCTTGGGAGTGCCGCCGTTCCTCAGAAAGTTGGCCCCAGTATCACCTCTGCCCCTGGCAGGCCTTTGGCTATAACTTCTCTTCAAGGAGAGCCCTCCGGTGGGCCAGAATGTGGGCCTGAGGGGACTCCTCTGTTTGTCATGCACTGAACCCTCGCCTTCCGGTTCGCTACCCTCGCCTTCCGGTTCGCTACCCTCACATCTGTCTGGGCTGGTCTGTGGGCTCTGCCCCTTCACCTTCTCTGTGTCCCTCAGGGTGAGAGCCGGGTGCTGGCAGCTTTGAGGTGGCGTGAAAGGCGTCTGCATCCTTTCACCCCCACTCATCCTGGGCACGGTGCCAGGCACATCTCCTGCCCCTCCATGCAGTCCACACCGCGGGAGCAAGGATAAGCAAGATGCTGTGACCACACACAAGAGGCAGTATACCCAGGCTCTGGGGCTCCGGAGGCATTAACTCCAGAGCTGTCAGAGCACGCTCTAGCCCTGGGAGATACAGAAGCACATGTCAGGCGTGGCCCAGGGCCCGAGCATATGTTTCTCAGGAGAACTGGGCCGGATGTCTGACTGTCTGGTATGGCTGCTAAGGGCTCTCTGGCCTATCACCGGGAAGGGTCCTTCCTGGCCTCCAACTCCTAGTATATGCTGTGCTGCTCCAGGAGACTGTACATCTCACCTCGCTTAGGGCCCAGCCAGGATCAGTGTGTGGCTTCTGACTCAAGTGGGAGGAGAGGCCCCAGACCACCCCTCCCTTGCCTCCTGCCAGGCCTCCTCCCTCACCTGCCTCTCGTTCCCCGCAGAGTTCTTCCTCTCGCTTCTGGAGAAGATGCAGACTCAGGAGATCCTGAGGATGCTGCGGCTGCCCGAGCTGGGCGACTTGGGCCAGTTTTTCCGCAGCCTCTCGGCCACCACCCTCGTGAGTATGGGTGCGCTGGCTGCCATCCTCGCCTACTGGTTCACTCACCGACCGAAGGCCTTACAGCCACCGTGCAATCTCCTGATGCAGTCAGAGGAGGTGGAGGTGAGCAGCGTGTGAGCAGCTGGGCTGTGGGAAGAAGTGGGCAGGGGACAGGCGTCTTGAAGGTAGAACTCAAACTTGTGGCTTATTTGACTTCCGATGGCCCAGAGAATCTTGGTTTCTTTCCTGGGCAGCCAGCCAGGAAGCTCTGAAGTCGCCCTGGACAGGCTCTCCTACCAGATACTCCTTCTGCCTCTCCCAGTAGCTGAAACCCGGTCAGAGACTGACCTTGGCCCTTGCCCTGGCCCTCTGGTTTGCCTGCTTCTTGGGGAGGGGGCCTTGGCTTATGGTTGCCACAGTAGGAGCCCTACGAATGTTCTTAAGGGGGTGCTGGGTAAATTTCCTCCCAGATTCTCCCTGTGCCCAATCCTCGTCTGGAGCTGGGACCCAGAGGGGCCCGACTGCAGGGCCCTGCCCTTCCAGAGCCCACAACTCACAGGCAGAGCCACTGAGGGAAGAAGGGACAGCGGCGCAGCCTGGACAGGGGGTTCCAGGCTCAGTCTAGAAGGACCTGTAAGATTTGTTTCTTAAGTTTATGGAATTTATTTTGCCTTTTTAAAAAACTTGGAAAGTAAAAGTGTTAGTCACTCAGTCGTATTTGACTCATTGCAACTCCATGGACTGTAGCCCGCCAGGCTCCTCTGTCCATGGGATTCTCCAGGCAAGAATACTGGAGTGGGTTGCCAGGCCCTCCTCCAGAGGATCTTCTTTTAGTTATTTTGAATAGTTAGTGTATTCACACAGTTCAAAAGCAACCGAAGGACATAGACTGATAAACTTCCAGCTTTTCCCCCTTGCCTCCCAGTTCTCTTCCCCTGAGAATTGTGTTAGCTGTTGTCCACAAGCAAACGTGTAGACATCTGCCCATGTTTTAAAATGATAACACACCACATACACCATGCAGCACCTTGCTTTTGCTCTTGACGGTATATCTTGTAGGTACCGATCATAAGCATGACAGAGTTTTGCCTGGTGGGAGAGGGCACAGGCTGAGATAGGAGTGGGACCTTGAGAGCATTTTTCCAGAAAATGCTCTGGAAATGTGTGCAGAGGTGCAGGTGTGTGACAGCGACCTGGTGGTTTTGGGAAGTGGCGATTCATGTGGTGTGGCTAGGAGGTGGAGAAGGGCTGTGGGTATATAACTTTGTTGCCTGTGGTGACCAGCAGCTCTGGATTCACAGGCCAGCCCTACCTCTTCCTAGCCTTATGGTCCTTGGCAGTTGTTTGTTTTTTTTTTTAATAAACTCTCTGAGTCTCAGTTTCCTCATGTGTCAAGTGGGCAATAAAAAGAGAACCTGCCTCCTAAAACTATGGTAAGGATTTGGTGAGATGATGCAGAGGAAGCACTAAGATGAATTAACTCACCAGGAAAGGCCAGCAAGGACAAAGCCCCATGAACTGGAGAGGGACTCTCAGAGTGGACAGCCTGGATCTATTTGGGGTTTTAAGTAGCAGGAGAGACAGGGCCATTTTTGCTGTGACTTTGCAGGGACCATGTGTGGGGAGGCACCTGGGGCTTCTGGGCTAGAGCTGACAGTGATCTGTATGCAGTCAGGTTGAGGGCCAGAGAGTGAGTCCCTTGTGGGTCTGGCGGGGAGGACAGGACATGGGCACAGCGAAGGCCTGTCTTCCTGGGAGGGTGGTGCCCTCCCTTGCCTCACCGTCCGGGAGTGCAGGAATCTGGAGCGACTGTAGTGAAGGAGGCGAGGAGAGAGTGGTAGGAGGTGAGATGAAAGAGGTAAGAGAGATCCAGATCATAGAGGTAGCATTTACTCTGTGTGCTGCATGGTAGGAGACGATTCAGATCATGACTCTTACTGGCTTAAAATCCTTCCCAGCTCCCCATTGCCCTCCACCTAAAGCTCAAGCTCCTTGCCTTGATCTGCTGCCTCTCTGGACCCCTCCATTTACCACTTGGAGCAGCATGAGTTGCCTCCAGCCCCAGGTGCCCTCCTGCCCCGAGTGTTTGCACTTGTTGCCACTGGTGAGACTGCCAGTCCTTGTTCCTCATTCTGCCCAGTAAACCCCTTCGTATCCTTTAAAACCCAGCTCAGCAGCCACGCTCTGACACACCAGCCCACGCGAGCCCTTTCTGTCCCTGGCACACAGTCTCTTGCTTGGGAGCCTGAGGAGAGGGGTGGCATGAGGAAGGGGAAGAGGCAGGAGAAGCCCAGCTCTTTTCCTAGCCCCAGCACACGTGGCGTTTGCCACCTTCCCACTCGATTCACTGAAGGTCCGGTCTGTTCCCTTCACAGCCTTCTAGGCTTCTTTTCTCGGGAAAGTACCTTCAGCGGGTTCTCAAATTAATCACACTGTTATGTAAGTGATGGATGGCAGCCATGATTCTTAACCTTCATGCATAGCAGCAACACCTTGGCGGGTTGATCCTGATGCTTGACTGCAGCCAGCACCCACCACTGTTGCATGAGTGAACCATGGGTGTGTCTGCACAGTAACTGAAGATCATGGGCAGTTAGTGTATGCTGACCTGCTGTGTGTGCATGTGTAGGAGACCGCTATACTGGACCCATGGATGTGAGCCGCCTGTTTGAGTGTGGATGTGTACAGGTCCAGTGTGCACAAGCCACGTGCCCATGAACGTGTGTAGAGGTTGTGTGTGTCCAGCTCAGGTGTGTGTAGGCCATGTGTGTGAGTGTGCAGAGAGTGTGTCCCAGTTCCAGCCATGTGGCCTAGGTGTGCATCCACACTCTGCAGGGCCCGGTGCCCTCTCCTGACGCCCCCGCCTGCCTCAGCCAGGCTCTCTGTTCTGTGCTTGGCTTGTAGGACAGTGGTGGGGCCCGGCGGTCCGTAATAGGGGACAGCCCGCAGCTGCTCAGCCACTACTATGATGACGCCAGGACCATGTACGAGGTGTTCCGCCGTGGGCTTAGGATCTCAGGTGAGAGGGGCCATGGGGGTATGGAAGGGTCCTGGCAGGGGTAGAGAAGGTGCAAGGGTGGGAGTGAGTAAGCATGTTTCCAGGGGTATGGCGGGTGAGTCATGCCCAGGGTCAGAGGAGAGAAGCCATTCTTAGCCTTCCTGCCACCCGGTCACACAAGTAACTGCTAATGCGGCCAGCGGCTGACCTCAGCTTTTGTCCAGCCCTGGAACCGCTGACCTTAAGCTATCTCTTAGCGCATACTCCCTATCTCCCATTGGCAGCCCCTGGTAAGCCTTGAACTACCAGGCTACTGGCTGGCATGGTTCTGAACCCAACTTCCAGGATGTCTGGGTGAAGGGAGTTGTCACAGAGAGGCAAAGCGCCACCTCTGCCCAGTGGCTCCCGGGTCTCTGTGACCTCCTGGGTCTGCATCACACAGGTCATGGGGGAACTAACTGGCACTGTGTCATCTCCCATTCCTGGGCCTCCCTGATCTCCCTGAGGAGATGCCATGCCTGTGTACTTTAGGCCTTCTTACACTTCAGGAGGTTTAGACAGGCAGGTGGGAAACAGTTCACTTGGCCCATGGATGCCTCCCGGGGCGGGAGGTTCATCCAGGTGTCTGCTGAGCGGGTGCAGCTGGCACTGCCACCCTGCGCTCTTCCCTGCACAAGGTCTGCTTATCTCTCTGCAGGGAATGGACCCTGTCTTGGCTTCAGGAATCCTAAGCAGCCTTATCAGTGGCTGTCCTACCAGGAGGTGAGTAACAGAAGACAGCCCCCACCCTGTCTACCCACACAGACCTGGCGCTTGGAGCGAGGTGGGAGGGTGGGTTGGGGCCGGAGGGTCTCGGTTTCTTTTTCCTTGCCTGGCCTGTCTGTCAAACTCCTGACAGCAGCCTTGCAAGACTTCCAACATACCTGGGTAGGGAGTTGGGGAACTCCCTCAGACTGTAGAAATCCCACCTGCACCTCTCCCTTCCCTGCTGAAGAACCCTTGCTTTCCCATCACCGCTCTGTTGTCTGTGTGCAGGTGGCTGACAGGGCTGAATTTCTAGGGTCTGGACTTCTCCAGCACAATTGTAAACCATGTACCGATCAGTTTATCGGCGTTTTTGCACAAAATCGACCAGAGGTGAGCGTCAGCCTTAACTGGTTTTAGAGGCATCAGTGGAATACAGGATTGGGTACCATAGAACAGCCCAGCTCCCACTGTCTGAAGGGTCTGGGACAAGAGGAAAAAGGGAGATCCTTCATCCATGCCATCTCTCACTCCCTTGGCCATTGCCCCTAATCAAGGGTGGACATTTCAGCCAAGCTCCATGCGCACCCCACCCAGCTGCACAAACAGTGACTCCCTGAGCCATGGGAGAGGAAGGACCTGGGGAAGAAGCCCATACAAACCCTGGAGGTGGGCCTGGGGTAATTTGGAGTCCTGTGATTCCCTGGAGCAAGTGTGGACTAGAAGACTGTGGGTGAGCAGGCACAGCCCATTAGCTGCATGGGTCCCTCGCTTGTGCACAGGGCCAGAACAGAGCACTCTGGTCACAGGGCCCCAGGCAAGCACCCTAGTTGCCTGGGCCTAAGGGCAGTGCAGCCCTGCAGCTATCTGCTCTGTGCTCCCCCGCCCCCCACCCTGATTCTCTCCACAGTGGATCATCGCAGAGCTTGCCTGTTACACATACTCTATGGTGGTGGTCCCTCTATATGACACCCTGGGCCCTGGGGCAGTCCGCTACATCATCAACACAGGTGAGCCCAGCTGCCCTCTCCTGTCCCTGGTGGCCAGCCCCACTTCCCCTTCCCAGCCTTCAGCTTATGCTGATTGTCTGACACTAGTAAACACTTTGCTGCCATTCTCAGAGAACACTGGGGGCTTCCATTTTGGCCCTTGAATTGGCTTACTGAGTCCCCAGTTGGACTTTACCTGAAGGCTCCTTCCACACAGTAGGGCTGCCAAGAAGGAGCTTCCGCACCAGCCCCCCACATAGGCTGCCAACCCTCTGAGTTCACTTTAGCTTAAGGCAGGTGTTGGGGGTGTGATCAGTATCTTAGACCAGGTGGCTGAACCTGGAGAAAAAGGAATGTTTGGAATCTACCCTAGGGAATCTCTTGAGGGTAGATTCCAAGCATTCCTAAGAGATTTCCTGGTCTTCTGCCCTTGGCTCCATCTGGGCTTTGGGCAGTTTTCCTCTGGACACCTGTCCCATGTGACCTGTCATACGTGTTCATTTACACACAAGCTTGTCTTGTGGCAAACACAGCCCATGCTTCTACGACCTGGCGTGTGCTGCCCGCGGTCACAGCCTCTGCCCACACAGCCTGACTCTCCCTGACAACCCCTACAGCTGACATCAGCACCGTGATCGTGGATAAACCTCAGAAAGCTGTGGTTCTCCTGGAGCACGTGGAGAGGAAGGAGACGCCAGGGCTCAAGCTGATCATCCTCATGGAGCCATTCGAGGAGGCCCTGAAAGACAGAGGGCAAGAGTGTGGGGTGGTCATTAAGTCCATGCAGGATGTGGAGGTGAGGTTTTGCTTCTGGGCTGTTTCCTGGGCCACAGCTAGTTGGCCCCTGAGCCAGAGCTGCTAGTTATCTGCCCATCTTACGACCCTGGGATGGATGTCTGAGGCCATCAGCATATTTCATGTGCCAGGGTTCAAACAGGAGGCTTCACAGGGGCTGGTGGTGGGTAGTAGAGTTGGTCCCCACAGGCATCCTCTTTGATACGGGCTCAGCTGGTTGGCACAGCTAATGACCCAGGCACCAGTAGGTGATGGTAGTGCCAGCTTGCCCCAGAGCTACTCCCACAGCCTCTGGAGTCTCCTCATTTCTGAGGAGAAATAGTGCTCACTGCTAGCCTGTCTGAGCCGGAGGACTGTAGTAAACTGGAGTCCTGAAGAGGTTCTTGTAGATGTCTCCTAGGCCACCAGCAGCCAACAGAGCTGGTTTCCTTTGCATGGCCTCCCCAGAGACATTGGGCTGGTGGCAGCCTGTGACCTGCCGGAGTGACACAGGGCATCCTCCAGGGCCTCGGGCCTTACTCAGTAGCAGCTGACAGCCACTGTGTCCTAGGCCTGTGGGCCTTCCAGTTCTCCGCCTGTTTCCCTGTGTGCTCTTGAATGCCTGTGCCCTACCATGGTTCTAGGGGCCACACCTAAGCTGGCAGCCCCAATCTGCCCCTCCAGCCCTGACCACTTAGCACGAGGCCCAGGCCACCTAGCCACTCCATCTTGATGTACCATGGACCCCTCAGGCCATCTCCCCATTGTGCATGTATACAGTGCTTAGCCTCTTCCTAGGCTGCAGACCCCTATCTGTGATGTGGGGTGGCCAGTGCCTGGGCGTGTATCTTTGTATTCCGTGGATTGGGAATCTTGGACTCTGGGTTTGGTGCAGGATCGAGGCATACTGTGTTTATTTATCTTTTTTTGATTAGAACTTTTGAGTATTTAAAACCAATGTTTTCCTCTTTCAGGACTGTGGCCAGCAGAATCACTGCGATCCTGTGGTAAGCTCATTTTCCCGCAGGTCTTGATTGAGTAAAATGGTGCCCAGGGCGCATCCTTACAGACCTTTCTCAGCACGTACAAGGCTTGGTAGAGAGGCCAGAGTAGCACCCCTGTGTTAATAAGCAACTGAGGAAATGTCCCCTTGGGTGCTGAGGACTTCTGTGAGTGAGGGTCCAGAGAGGGACCTGGAACAGGGGTCAGATGTTCCGGAGGGACGAAAAAGGGCAGCCAATCCCTTGGGTCTCCAGTAACTTTTTCTTTGGGAGACCTAATGTTTTCTCTTTCAATGTAGTGAACTCTCCAGAGGATCACTACCCTCTGGGAGGGGCCACTTGGGAACTTTGAGCTTTCTAACCAGGCCTCTTACCTCTAGCCCCCTCTGCAGCTCAGCTCTTCCCACTCACTTCACCACCCTGCAAGCCTTCTCATGCACAGACAGCAGCAGGTTACATCCCTCTTCCCAGGGCCCTTACCTTCCCAGTATCCCCTGATGTGTTCCTACCTCCACACACTGTGCCACCCTCCACCCCCACCCCCAGCCTTAGAGAACTCCTTTCTGACCCAGCAGCATGCCCTGTCTCTCGCACCTCTGTCTGTGCCCAGGCTGGTTTCCTCTCCTAGAATGCCCACTCTCACATCTCTGGAGAGATGTAGCTTGTCCTTCAGTCTCAACTCCTGTCACCTCTTCTGGGAGTGGTCATGGTGGGCTCCTCCTGGTGACCCTAGGACTACATGCACAGGGCAAGGGCCAGATGCAGAGCAATCTTACTGACACAGCGGGCAGCTCAGTTCTGGGCTCCATGTTCTGTTCCCAAGCCTAAGCCCAGACATTTGGGGGAAAAGTGGGAAGAAAGGAGGAAATGGGTCACCTTGCCTAGAAAGGTGAGATCTTTGACGAAGGCCTGTGTGTGGCCACTGCAGCGCAACCCCATTAGAATTCAGCTCAGGCACAAGTGGGGGAGGTGGCAGGAGCAAGTGTGAGGTGGGTGAGACAGACCTGCGTCCTTGCCTGGTTAGGTGTCCTTGGCTTCTCCTCCCCTTTCCTGGGGACTTGCCTGCTCACCTTTCCTGCATCCGGCCCTTGCCCATGCAGGGCCATGCACGTGTGCCATCACGTGCCTGCACCTCACACCGTGCACACACACATGAGGTGGGGCAGGGTGTGCACAGAGGGGCTGGCCGGGGAAGGGGTCCAGGCTGGCCACCCCGGCTGGGTCTCTGACACACTCCTCTTCTCACCTCTGTAGCCCCCGAAACCCAGTGACCTCTCCATTGTGTGTTTCACGAGCGGCACAACAGGTAAGTGAGGCTTCTAGCTCACCAGCCAAGGCCACCTCCTTCCCTGGCACCCGGGACCGGGTGACTGAGGGCTCTCTGGCACCCTCTGCGGGGCGGGCTGAGCCTGGCTCCAGATGCTGGCTCCTCCCTGCTGCTCCCAGCGGCCGACACAAGGCAGCGCAGGGCGGCTGGACGGTGTGGCCTAGGAGGGCTGGGTGGGGGCTACAAACTTCCCAGAGTGGGGACCAGAGGCGGTCTAGGCAGTGGGGTCATGCATGACTGAGGCAGGGCTCTCACCCCTCTGCTTCCTGCTCCTGCTTGGCCTTTGGGTCACAACTCGGGGAGGAGTGTGGAGTTTGGTGTCGGAGAGTCTGGTTTTGAGCCCCATCTCTACCACTTGCTGGCGGGGCACCTCTCTGCTACCACTGTCCCCAATTTCTCACCTGGGTGGTCAAAAGTGCCAAATAGGAGGTGGGAAAGATGTGTTAGAGGGCAGTGCAGATGATCTGTGGCTGGTGTGTTGACAGCAAAGGTGTCAGGAAGAGGAAATAACACACTGCATGCCTGGTGCTGGCAGAGGAGTATGTGCATCAGTGTTGGCGGGAACAGCCAAGGAAGGCTTCCTGGTGGAGGCAGGACACGCTTGAGGACCAGTTCCACAGGCATGGCATTTTGCAGTCTTCAGTGGCCGGTCCACCCTATCACTGTGCCCCTGAGACTTCAGCACAGTCTGCAAGGCAGGCGGGGTGGGGGCTGTCCAAGGGATACCAGCAGCCAGTGGATACAAAAGGCTTGTGCCCTCTTCTCCCCCCACCCCTGCCCAGTGCTCTTCTTACTGCTGCCTCTCTGCCTCACCTGATAACTCGGGAATGGGCAGGAAGTTTCTAGCCTCTTCCCCAGACCTAGGGCTGGCCCACTTTGTTGATATTTCTTGATGGGCAGTCAACTAGGGCTCCCCACGCCTTCTCCAGATGCAACCTCTAGGGCATTTGGCAGATCCTTGACCAGTCCCATAGGCAGGACTATCCTTGTGGGTGGAGCATGATAAGTATGACTTTATTGAATCAAAATGGGTTTTCCCATTAACTCAGGTGGATTTGGGGGTTTACCCCATGGCTCAGCGGTAAAGTATCCACCTGCAATGCAGGAGACCCGGCTTCAATCCCTGGGTTGGGAAGATCCTCTGGAGGAGGGCACGGCAACCCACTGCAGTATTCTTTACTGGAGAATCCCCTGGAAAGAGGAGCCTGGTGGGCTACAGTCCATAGGGTTGCAAAGAGTCAGATGTGACTGAAATGACATAGCACACACGCACGCAAGTGGGTGTGAGAATTTCCACCTTACTGCTAAACCCTGTCAGAAGAGAAATAACAGCCTCTGCTCCCCAGGAACTGACATCCAGAGCCAACCCAGAATTTTAAAATATGCCCTTCAGATTTATGTTGCTTTTTATTGAAGAGTTTCACAGTGTGAAATTTTGATAACCTGTCCCTCCACACTGGGTTTGGGAGCAGGTCACTACTCTGGCCTTTAACTTTGGATCCTTGCTGTTCAAGAGTGTCCTTGGGCTTCGAAGCACAGAATCACTTAGTCACAACTATGTGACTAAGTCACTTAGTCACAAAAATGAGTTACTTAGTCACAACTGCTGCCCCCTTGTCTCTGGAAAAGAAGAGAGACACGTTTCATGATGCAGAAACGTGCTGTTGCCTAGCTGTGGAGGACAGGCCTGGTGTCCAGGGCTTTTTCAGACCATGGAATCGCAACTGGAAGCTGAGCCATCCTGCCCAAGCTCTACATGGAGGAAACAGAGTACATGGAGCTTAGAAAACAGGTCTTGATTTGGTGTCCAAAGCTCCCACTCCAGAGTTGCGGCGGGTGCCAAGAGTGGAGCTGGGGGAGGGAGCAGGCCCCTTACCTGGTGTCCCCCGACCTGGTCGCACACTCGGACTTCTGTGGCATCAGCCTGAGCCTGTGCTGTGTCTCTGACAGCTGTCCTCCTGTCCAGCACACCACAGCTGAGGAGACAGCTTCCCTTCCATGATAAGCGTCCTGGCCCTGGCTTTGTCAAGAACCATGTTGTTCTTTCAGTGAGGAAAGATGGAAAATACTGCCTGAACCTGACATTTGAAATCATGATTCTGGTGGAATCATTCTGGGAAGATTTTTCTCTTGGTGTGTGATGGAAACATCTATGGAGATTCCCAGAATAAGCCAGTGCTTTGGAGTCACTAGTCAGGCCAAGAAGGCCCTGGAGGAGGTGAAAGCTTGAGGTTTGTCTGCACTCAGGGAGGGCTAATGGGTGGGCATGTGGTTGGTTGTTCATTTCAGAATAAGTATTAGCTGGATGAAATCGAACTGCTTTTCCCAAATGAAAGATACTTTTTTATACTCTGGGGGTATAACGTAGCCTAATCTGGGGACTTGGGCCCCATGAATGATAGTGCAGATGTTTCCTTATGGGTTCATGTACACTGTCTTCCCAGAGAAGAAAATACAGTGGTCTTTTAAAACATGTCCTTGTTAGTCTGTGGGGTTTTAGCAGTCCTTTTCTGATGTATATGGATTCATTCATTCAGCTCAGTTACCACTTTACATCAGACCTAGTGTTAGAGGCCAAGGACACAGGGATGGAGAAGACACGGCCCTGCCCTCATGAGCTCACAGCTCATGTCCTGAGGCTGTTCTCTGCCTTGAGGGCCTGCATCCCAGGGTGCGTGGAATGCTGGGCCACCCAGAGGTCAGCACAGCAGGATGGAAACAACTCCAGGTCTAAGCAGAGTCTTGAAGGACTGGTGGCTGGAGGAGAAGAGGGGGCTGGACATTCTCAGCAGAGGGAACAGCATGTGCAGAGAGGACCAGCAGCAAGAAAAAATGTTTCTGCGAGGAAGAGTCGACTGAGGAAAAGAGGGGTCTGGTTGCAGGGGCGGGGAACCCCGACAGGAGAGGAGTGATGGGGGTCACAGTTCCAAATCAAAGCTGTGCAGAAGCAGCCCGAGAGGCCAGAGGAGGATAGAAGCTGTCAGCATTGTCGGGTGGCTAAGCTGTGCCCATGGGATGCTGCCGCAAGAATACGGTGCTCGTGTGGTGGGGGCAGCGCTGGGCGCAGAAGCTGACGGTGATGGACTGAGGAGTGGGTGGGAGAGGAGGATGTCAGTTCAGCAAGTGTGGACAATTCTTTCAAGAGCTGTGGCTGTGTCACCAAAAGGCATGCTCCGTAATGTTCCCAGCAATGCAACTTGAGACCTTGAAATCTGGAAACAATTTAAAATGCCTGTCAGCAACAGAATGGTGTATCTACACATAGGAAGTCATAGCTCAAGTTAAAGAAAAAAAAAGACACAAAATAGTATATGATTTCTTTTATATTAAATGACAAAGCACGGTAAAGTATTCTTTGGTTTCAGAAGTCAAGGATTGTGGTTGCCTTCTGGGATTCTGCTGCTGTGGAAAGCTGGTGATGTTCTGTTTCTTGATCTGGGTACTAGTTGGCTGGATAACTTGTACCCAGATAACTAGTACCTGGATAATTTTTTTCACTTTGAAAAAGATCTACTGAACTATGTATGTATTTGGGCACTTTACCATATGTATGTTATACTGGAACAGAGAGTTTATTTAAAAAAAAAAAAAGATCAGCTGTGAAGGGATGACAGAGAACAGAGTGGCAGCTGGTGGAAGCCATGGGCTTCAGGGAAGGTAGAGTTTTTGTTGTTTTCCCAGAAATACCTGAAAGTGTTTTGAATAGTTGGGAGAGAGCCACCGGAGACAAAGAAAGGGGGGTTAGCTCCGTGGAGCAAGCCCCCAAAGCTCTGCTTTGGGTCAGGGGAGAGAGCCGGCTTCTAAGTCCTGTTGAGAGATACCTACCTGGGGGGACGAAAGGAGAAAGAAAGGCTTCTGGGAGGCCGGGAGGATGGGAGACCTCCTCTGTGGAGGAGTCAGGGTCCTGCCTGAGGGTGAGATGTGTCGTGAGTGGACCAGAGTCTAAGGCGGCGCCATGTGAGTTTCTGTGAGGAACACACCTCTCTTGGGCTGGAGACCGTGAGCCTCTGGGGTCACACCGTGGGGGGAGTGGAAACGGTGGGCAGCTGGATTGACCTGGGGGGTTACCTGAGTGGGGTCCTCCAGGGGACGCCTGGGGACGGAAGGACTTGGTGGGAGAGTGGCTGGAGTGAGGGACCCTGGAGTCCAGCTTGGGAGGGAGGGGAGGCTGGGGAGCAGTGTGTGTCTGGAGTCACAGGAAAGGGTCTCAGCATGCCAGGTTAGCTCTCAGTGGTGGCAGCCGGGCTGGGAGGCTGAGGAGGTGGAGGCCCCGGCACTGGAGCATCCCCTCTATTCCAGCTGAGGATGCCCAGGGAAGCCTATCATTTAGCCTGGTGTATTACGTGCCCATCGGCCCTACAGCTGTGCCTGCTCAGGGGTGGGCTCTCTGGGCAAAGGCTCACCTTGACTTATGCTTTTTGCACCATCCCATTTACAATTTGTGTGACCACAGGCCCAAGATTACCTCATGGCACTTGTGCTTTAGGGGAGTCTCTTAAGCTCTGTTAAGCCTCAGTTTCCTTGTGTAGGAAATGAATACATCTGACACCTTAACATAGACTTGTTCCAAGAAATAACTGAGCTACCATTTATGAAATACCTAGCACAGTGCCCACATTGGTGCTCAGTAATTGGCCTGCTGTTAACAGTTATTATTTGTATTCCTGCTAGTCCTCGAGTCTGATGTTTTAAAAAAATGGGTGGATATGGGGTTGATGAAAGTAAGACTCAATTCTTAAAAAGATTTGGAAACCTTTAGCAGGGAGATGAACACTCTTATCTACATTTTACAACTTCTAAAGCACTTCTGTCACTGGTATCTTTCGTAACCCACCTTTGTGAGAAAGCAGGAAAAAAAGAGCCAGAGGAGCTCCCAGTCCTTCTCCCATCCATTCCTAGAGGAGAGACCGTGAGCTCAGCTTCACCCCACAGCTGCCCCATCTCAGGACCAACATCCATCCAGGGCAGATCTTCACCCAGTGAAATGCCCTTCTGCTCACCAGCCATGGGTGGCCCACCCAGGAGCACTGGCTAAAGCCAAAATGCTGTTTGCAGAATCTGAAACTCAGAGAGTTTTCTTCCTTCAGCAGCTGGAGAGAAAATGAAGTGCAAGGATGGCGAGTTTATAAGTAGAAGGTGGGAAATGGGCCACAGGTCTCATTCTGCCAAGATGTGAGGGCCTGGGTAGCCCCCGTTGTCACTGATGTTGCACCAGGAAAGAAGAGAACCAGAGGGCGTGATTTTGCAACTTTGATTGCACATAGGTCTAGCTGGGAATGCTTAGCCTGTTCCTCCATGTGAGCAAGTTGGAAACATTTCCATATCACGTTTAAAACAAACGCTACCGGGGGTGTGTCCTTGTCCTGAATCAGAGAAGCAAGCAGAGCCTTTTCAAAGGCTCACCTCTCACCTCCCAACTCAGACCTTGGAGTCTTCTCCCAGGATTTGTTGTCGGTGTTCACCTCTCCTTTATCCTCTGGGGCCACATCTAGAGAGGACTTGAGGAAATAATTAGAGCATTTCTTGGAATATTTAAAAGTTCTGCAACTCACTAGAAGTTTGTAAAATTTCATTTATATCTACAAGAAAACAATTGTTTCTTAAAGCTGTAAGCTTTTATTATCATGTTGAAGAGGAAAAGGGCATGTCCAACTAAGCAGAATTGAATAACTGCTACCATTGTGTGTATTCTGGCCTGCAATAAATGGAGGCTTTAGATGTTTTTCATCAATGAAGACAAATTTCTCTTGAAATTCTCAAACTCTCCATTGAGGTTATATTAGATGTGAGCAAGTTACCCAGTCTAGGAGGTCTAAAGCTGTGTAGCATAGTACCATGTTTTGTGACAATTCTGATTTCATACTTGGTATTTTGGGGGTGTTCCTTAGAAAAAATCCAGAATTTTGGAATCCACAGGTGAAAATTTCTAGATGATATTCTCAGAATAGTTTGTGGGTCCAGGGACTCTTCTGGGATCTGTATATAGGAGACAATTCAGGGAAATTTCTCATTAAGGGCCTGGGTTTGAGGAAAGATGCTGGGATGAAAGAAAGAGAAGCAGTAAAACAAAGTGCATGGATCTTATTTTCAAAAGGAGGGTATTTTAACAGCTATCTATTAGAAGCTGTTTTTTTTTCAATCCTGTAACTTTCTATGTCCTCAAAATCACCTCTGTGATTTGCAAGATGGATGTAGGTGCCCGATCACATGTTAAAACACACCACATCTTGGTCAGACAGAGGTGATGCTATTATTGACAAACCGGTCACCAATAGGGTGAGCCTCACAGAGTCTAATTATGAGAGCAACTTTATTTTTGTCTCCATCTGTTCTTTTACAATTGCTTGGTGAGGATAGCTCTTTGTCTGCCCCTGGATAAAACTTAGGCATCCATGCCTTTTCTGGTCCCTCTCAGGTGAGTCCCTTGGGCATTGTAAGTCACAAACTCAATCTTAGTTCAGAATTACAAGTGTCGGTCCAAAATATGAATGTGTCTGTTGGGGTCCTTTAATGGACCAGAACCTGGGAGGTCCCCTGTTTGGAGTTTCCTGGAATAGGTTTTCCTTCAATATCAAATTTAAATTTATTGTCTTTGGCCCAGTGCATTCCTCTATGGCAGCAAGGGCAAATTTTTGGAGGTTTTTTATTACTCTTCTTAGGGCAGTTCCTTTTTAAACGGTTTTTATCTCCACATGTAAAGCATCTTACATTTCCCTTTTTAAAAGGTAGTAGCCGTTGTTTCAGCTAGTGTTTGCATCTTTTAAGTTTTTGATCCTAGATTGTGACAAGCCTTCAAACAATCAATAGTCCCAGTCTCACAAATTGCAGCTATAGCTCTTTGACATTTCTGATTTGCATTCTCATAAGCAAGTAATTTCTCTAGCCGTTTTTTTGGTTTCTTCTCCGATTACATTACGGGAAATAGCGGCTTCTAATCTAGCTTAAAAGTTAGCATGACTTTTCATTAGGTTCCAACAAAGGAGAGACTTTTGGAGTTGCGACTGTTGGCAGAGGAGAAGCACTTGGAGCAGCCAGGGCAGGGCTAGTAAGAAAATTTTGAGATATTTTGTATTGTTTTAATTGGGCCTTTTGTAAAGTTTAATCATTTAATTTATATTTATGTAATAAGTGTTCTGTCGCTGAATATTGGAAGGGCTAGAATGTACCTTTAAATGGCAGAATTACAGCTTTAATAAGAGCCCATAGGGGCTAGTGATCAATTGGAATATTTTTTCCTTGTTTGGCTGCTCATTTAACATTTTCTTTGACCTGGAGCCAAATTTCTAAATCAAAACTGCATTTATCAGGAAACTAAGAATTATGTTCAACTACTGTTTGAAGGCAAGCCTCTATTCATTGGCGTGAAACCAGAAGACCCTGAAATTTAAACAAATGGTGAAGTAAAGTAGTAAAATAATGGGGCTGGCCAGCCTTTGACCCATGCCTGGTACTTACCGACCTCAATAGGTCCCTGAGTCACTCCGCCCGACATGCCACGTATACCAGTGTCCCTGTTCCTTGGCGCCATTTGTTGGGGTCCTTTAATGGACCGGAACCTGGTGGTACGGAGTCGACGATAAGAAAGTAAGAGAGAGAGAGAGAGAAAAAAGACCCGGGGACCTAAGCTCTGATGGAGCAAAGGTGCTTTAATGATTTTTCTATGAGTATATATAGGCTGTGGTACAAGAAACTTCTTTCGGGAATGATAGAGATCAGAAAACCAAACGTATGCAACTGTTACCAAGGGAACAAGGGGTAATGTTAGTCACAAGGTCAGGAGACAATCCATATTTCAAGAAAGGGGAACGAGACTAAGCAGTTTTGTCCTAAAGAGAATGTTTACTAAAGGAGACCCAAGCCTGCCTCACACAATGACCTCAGTCCCTGGGAGCAGCGTGCTGTTCCGCTTGAAGAGGGACAGAGGACTCATGAGAGACAGCACGTAGGCATCCTCCCGTCAGACAGTGTCCACTTCACTGAGACTTCCCTACCCAGGCCAGGGCTGGCTGCAGGCTGGGTGGGGAACGTATGAGATCATGCCTTCCTCTCTGGTGGTCCTCCCCGTCCTCCACTGGCTGATGAAGGTTTCTGCCCTCTCCCACCAGATGGAAGTAGGGAGGGAGAATGACTTTGGACAGATGTTTACAATTGCGTCTGCTGTCTCATGGACACTTTTAGGAGGTCTGTGGAAGCAGGCAGTGCCCTGCTTTGCTTGTCTGCTCCCGCTTCACATCCGCTTCTGTCTCTGGTGTATACTTTACCACTCCCTCTGACCTGAGGGCGGGTACTGGCCTTCAGGTAAGAGTCCTTTTTAAGACACCATTCCCATCTCCACCTGATGTTCCTTCTGTAGACTCTGTGTTCAGTTTCTGGGATTTATTATTTGATTTTCAGCCACAGCCTTCTTCACCTTTCTTACTGGGAACCCCGAGCTGTAGGGAATATGATTGTGCTTTTCAAATAGTCTCATTAGGGCCTGAGTTAGCTTGGGTTTCAGATTGGAGTTGGGAGAGAGGACCCGTCATTCCTTCCCTTTTGATGAGCTGTAGGACTCAACAGCTCTCCGAAGAAATCCTCACAAATTCTCCCTCATTCATTTATATTCTCTCTCTCTCTTATTGAAGTGAAATTCGCATAACATAAAATTAACCTTTTTAAAGTGAACAGTTCAGTGGCATTTACTGCAATACTCTCTTAACCTCAACTCAGCCCTTTTATTACCTCTTTTCTGGGTGAGAGTTGCAAAGTTAACATTTTGGCTTATTTGGTATTTTGGGGGTAAATTCTGCACATGGTCTGACCCATCACTTTTGGAGTTTAACAGATCATGTATCTCCTGCCTCAGTGGAAACTTGTAATTTAATATCTTTTGTACCTGGCTAGGTCCTCAGAACTTAGATAAAGCCCCATTTTACAGGTTAGGAAACTGAGAAGGGGAAAACAACCTGCCAGTGTTACGCTGGCAGTGAGAGGCAAGGCCAGGATTCGAGCCTGGTCAGGTCTGTCCAGGAGCACCAGCAGTGTGTGTCCGCCCCGACAGGACGCGGTAACCAATGGCCTCCCTCCACAGCCTGCTGTGCCTTCTGTCCCCACCTGGCCTCTGGGCCGTCCTAGCAGCCCCGGGCTTCCTCAGGCGCAGCAGTGGAAGGTCGTGTCAGGACAGCCCAAGAACATCCATGTCCCGGCTCTGCCAGTGAGAAGCTGGGAGGGCTCTCCCAGCAGCCCGGGCCTCCAGCCTGGCCTGGACTGGGGCCTTTCCAGGTGTCAGTTACAGCGAGGAAGTCCTCTGCCAGCACAGTTGGCAGCTGGAGACTGGGACAGCACTGGCCTAGAGAGCAGCATGGGTTACTGGGGATATGCCTAAGGAGACTGGGGGCCAAGAGCCTGTGCTCCCTGAGGAAGGCAGAAGGGAAGGCACGGGCCAGCCCGTCAGGCCTCGAGGCACCCCACCTGTGCAGCTGCATCACCTGCCTCCTGTGGGATCAAGCAGCTGGGAGCCTCAAGGTGGGTGAGCTTCAGGTGTCTGCAAAATGATGGTCCTTCACAGCATTCTTCTGCGTGGGACTCTGATGATGGCTGTGGACGAAGGCCAGAGGTTTGCGTGGACAGCACTGGGTGTCTGGGGCTGACGACTCAGGCGCTCTTCTCAAGGAGTGGCCGATGAGCTTCCAACTAATTTTCCTTCTTGCTCTCTCCTTTCAGGGAACCCAAAAGGTGCGATGCTCACCCATGGGAACGTGGTGGCTGATTTCTCAGGCTTTCTGAAAGTGACAGAGGTGAATAAAGTAGATTTTCTAATGCAGGTTTACTCTCAAGGTCACCCTCAAGCCCTCAGAGGCTTTTTCTGTGCTTTCTTTTTTTTTCCCCTGATATAATCTAGGCTGCCTTTCCCAGGCAGGAGTTTCTGTTTTCATTAGAGCAATCCCACTTTCACAGATACTTTGAACCACAAACACTGAAATGATCCATACCTGGTAAATATTCAGTTGATTTCTGATAGTGCTGAGATCCCAGAAAGAAAAAACATGGAAAACTGTTTTCCATTTTTAACTTCAAAAATTGAGATACCTGTAGTTTAATGTATGCCTTTATATAAAAAGTCATCCTTGGTAACTTCTTTTTCCAAGTAAGTCAGGGTTTAATTCAATCATTTTGTGTTTAAGGACTACTAGAGTCTGAGAAACAACGGCAACTGCTAATTTATAAGGCTGTACTAAAAAAGGTAAATCTAAAATCAAAAAAGCTTGATATCTTGGCCTGACAAAAGCATGTTAGCATTTTTAACCAGCTAAGAAGGAAGGACCCTTTACCACAAGTGGTGAGTATCTGAATGTCCTACAATTTAAGGAGGAAGGGACATACCTTTTCATATAAATTAAGCTTTTTCTCCACTGTAGAGAAAACCACCATCCATATTTATGCCAGATGGCATTATGGAGCATATGCCCAAATAGTAGGAAAGTTCCTACATCTTGGTGGGAAACTGAAAGATTGTTGGTAGCTGAGCCCAGGCCAGGAGCCACGAGCAAGTTTCCCAGGGCTGGTCCAGACTTGTCTGGAAGCCAGCTCAGGAGACTGAGGACCCCTGAAAAGGGGCAGAAAGCAGGGAAGTCAGCCCAGGAGAACTCGTCCCTGAGCAGAGCCCCTTGACCAGGGCAGCTCCTGTCCCTGAGGTCAGACCTGGCCCAGAGGGGGGATCCCGCTCTGGCACCCCCTGTGAGGCCCTGTTCTCAGGTGTGGCTTGTGAGGCCTGGCTCCGCCCGCCACACCTCTGCCCCCGGCCCTCGTAGGCACAGACCTAGGGTTCTCTGGGCCCCTTTCTCCAAGAAGGACTGGAAAGTGCCGACAGGCTGAGACCCTCTGAAGCCCTACCCCGGTGGCCCAGGGATGCGGGTGAAGTGGGGCCAGGGGCAGACCCTGCAGCTTTGGGGAGGGGGAGGTGCGCTGAGGTGACAAGACGACTGCGTGTGAGCTGCAGGCCCTCCCGGAGGAGACTTCCCTGCGCAGCTGACTCTGCTGGTTTATGTGTGCTGCAATTGGCTCTTTGCTTCTGCAGATAACCTAGACCCACTGGCGCTTCGACCTAACATTCCGCTTCCTACGCTGCCCTTTCTCTCACTTCACTTTCTGCACCTCTGTCTTCCTCTCACTCCTCCCCCTTTTCACTTTTTCTCTCTCTGTCATCTCTCCTCTGTCTCTTCTCCCCACCTCCCCCACCCAGCCCTACCCCTCTTCCTTTTTGCCCCTCCAGGTCATTTTCTCTTTATTGTTTTATGACTCTCTCGTTGTCTTCCTGTCAGTGTTTCTTTCCTTTCTGTCTCCCATGCCCGGCACCTGCAGAAAGTGATCTTTCCGAGACAGGACGATGTGCTCATCTCCTTCCTGCCTCTGGCTCACATGTTTGAGAGAGTCATCCAGGTAAGACGCCCGCCTGACTGACCGGGCCTTGCCTGGGCTCCTTCTGTTTTCTTACAGAGTCAGTGGGCTCCCACTTGTGCGGATGTACACATTTCCTATTTGCCTTTAGCACACATGTTTGAGCGAATGGTACAGGTAAGGCCCTGGCTTCAGGGAGGCACAGTCTGTGCCCTGAACCCGCAACCCTGGCAGGGTGGCGCTTTGGCACTGGCAGTGTGAAATAGAACTAAACTGGCCTGTCTTTGGAAGGTGCCACAAGGGGTCAGAGGACCATGGCCCCTTGACCTGTCTCTCTTGGGACCTGCCTGCCCCACCTGGGGACACACCTTGGCTGAGAGAGGTCCCAGCTGATGGCCTCTGCTCAGAGAGCATTGCTTCTCTGCAGAAGTGCTTTATTGTTAACCTCTGTGCAGTGTGGCCCCGTTTATGGCCAACACACCTATATTTTGTAACTTCGATCACTCACAAACTCCTAAGAGAGAAAACAAGACAGTGAAGTTGGGGACTCAAGCTCTCACAGCCGCTCAGCCTATTGATGGCGCTGCCACTGTGACTGGGCACTAGGACAGACCTCCTGGGGACAGAGAATGGAGGACTCCACATGAGGTTGTAGGGACAGAGAAACATCTGTGCCTGTCACTTAAGGAACCAGCCTTTGCATACATTATCTCCCAGTCAGTCAGTTCAGTTCAGTTGCTCAGTCATGTCCAACTTTTTGCGACCCCCATGGACTGCAACAGGCCAGGCTTCCCTGTCCATCACGAACTCTCGGAGCTTGCTCAGACTTATGTCCGTTGAGTCAGTGATGCCATCCAACCATCTCATCCTCTTGTTGTCCCCTTCTCTCCCTGCCTTCAATCTTTCCCAGGGTCAGGGTCTTTTCTAATGAGTCAGCTCTTCACATCAGGTGGCCAAAGTATTGAAGTTTCAGCTTCAGTATCAGTCATTCCAATGAATATTCAGAAGGACTGATTTCCTTGAGTTTGACTGGTTTGATCTCCATGCAGTCCCAGGGACTCTCAAGAGTCTTCTCCAACACCACAGTACAAAGGCATCAATTCTTGGGCGCTCAGCTTTCTTTATAGTCCAACTCTTATGTCCATACAGGACTACTGGAAACACCATGGCTTTGACTAGATGGACCTTTGTCGCCAAAGTAATGTCTCTGCTTTTTAATATGCTGTCTGGGTTGGTCATAACTTTTCTTCAAAGGAGCAAGCGTCTTTTAATTTCAAGGCTGCAATCACCATCTGCAGTGATTTTGGAGCCCCCCAAAATAGTCTCTCACTGTTTCCATTGTTTCCCCATCTATTTGCCATAAAGTAATGGGACCAGCTGCCATGATCTTAGTTTTCTGAATGTTGAGTTTTAAGCCAGCTTTGTCACTCTCCTTTTACTTTGCTCAAGAAGCTCTTCAGTTCTTCTTCACTTTTGGCCATAAGGGTGGTGTCATCTGCGTATCTGAGGTTATTGATGTTTCTCCTGGCAATCTTGATTCCAGCTTGTGCTTCATCCAGCCTGACATTTCACATGATGTACTCTGCATATAAGTTAAATAAGCAGGGTGACAGTATACAGCCTTGACGTACTCATTTCCCAATATGGAACCAGTCTGTTGTTCCATGTCCAGTTCTAACTTCTGCTTCTTGACCTGCATACAGATTTCTCAGGAGGCAGGTCAGGTAGTCTGGTATTCCCATCTCTTTAAGAATTTTCCACAGTTTGTTGTGATGTACACAGTCAAAGGCTTTGGCATAATCAATAAAGTAGACCTAGTTTTTCTGGTATTCTCTTGCTTTTTCTATGATCCAACGGATGTTGGCAGTTTGATCTCTTGTTCCTCTGCCTTTTCTAAATCCAGCTTGAACATCTGGAAGTTCACGGTTCATGTACTGTTGAAGCCTGGCTTGGAAAATTTTGAGCATTACTCTGCTAGCCTGTGAGATGAGTACAATTATGTGGTAGTCTGAACATTCTTTGGCGTTGCCTTTCTTTGGGATTGGAATGAAAACTGACCTTTTCCAGTCCTGTGGCCACTGCTGAGTTTTCCAAATTTGCTGGCATATTGAATGCAACACTTTAACAGCATCATCTTTTAGGATTTGAAATAGCTTAACTGGAATTTCATCACCTCCACAAGTTTTGTTCTTAGTGATGCTTCCTAAGGCCCACTTGACTTTGCATTCCAGGATGTCTGGCTGTAGGTGAGTGACCACACAATCGTGGTTATCTGGGTCATGAAGATCTTTTTTGTATAGTTCTTCTGTGTATTCTTGCCACCTCTTCTTAATATCTTCTGCTTATGTTAGGTCCATACCATTTCTGTCCTTTATTGTGCCCATCTTTGCGTGAAATGTTCCCTTGGTATCTCTAATTTTCTTGAAGAGATCTCTAGTCTTTCCCATTCTATTGTTTTCCTCTATTTCTTTGCATTGATCTCTGAGGAAGTCTTTCTTATTCTCCTTGCTATTCTTTGGAAATCTGCATTCAAATGGGTATAACTTTCCTTTTCTCCTTTGCTTTTCGCTTCTCTTCTTTTCTCAGCTATTTGTAAGGCCTCTGCATACAACCATTTTGCCTTTTTGTATTTCTTTTTCTTGGGGATGGTCTTGATCACTGCCTCCTGTACAATGTTCTGAACCTCCATCTATAGTTCTTCAGGCACTCTATCAGATCTAATCCCTTGAATCTATTTGTCACTTCTACTGTATAATTGTAAGGGGTTTGATTTAGGTCTTACCTGAATGGTCTAGTGCTTTTCCCTATTTTCTTCAATTTAAGTCTGAATTTTGCAATGAGGAGTTCATGATCTGAGCCACAGTCAGCACCTGGTCTTGTTTTTGCTGACTGTATAGAGCTTCTCCATCTTTGACCGCAAGGAATATAATCTGTCTGATTTCGATATTGACCGTCTGGTGATGTCCATGTCTAGTAGAGTTGTCTCTTGTGTTGTTGGAAGAGGGTGTTTGCTGTGACCAGTGCGTTCTTTTGGCGAAACTCTGCTAGCCTTTGCCCTGCTTCTGGGCGCAGCAGAAGCGTTATCTCCTACGCCTCTCCCATTTGGCTTTGGGGGAGATCTGGTCTACTAGGCAGGGCCTTCTCGCTTTTCAGACCTGGATTTCATTGCCGGCGATTATAACTTGTGACTCTGGGCAAATGCCTTTACCTCTGAGGCCTTTGCATTCCTCATCTGTAAAACCGATAAGAATTCTGTCTCCCTTGCATAATTGCTATGAGTATGAAAGAAAGGAGCCCTTGGCATATTCCTAGTCCCAGTAGCAACCAGCCAGGCTCCACCGTGGCCTCCCTTAGCCAACAACATCAGCAGCATCTCCAGCACTCCGCACACCCTCCCAGAGCTGCCGAGGTGTCCCTGGGGAAGTGCGCAGGCACCCTGAGGCCTGGAGCAGACATACCGATGAGGTCGTACAGCTCAGGGACGGAGTCCCCACGGAGGCCCCTGCCCAGGCTTGGGAGTGAGCACGAAGGGGCAGCCACCAGTGAGTCTGGCTGCTCTGGCATTCCCCAAAGGCTCAGGATGCCACCCTCCCCTGCTTCGCTTCATGTCTGAGTGGGACTTAGCGGGGAGGTGGGGAGCCGTGGAGGGGGATATGTCACCTCAGATGGCTTTCTTCAGTGTCCTGTGGCTGCAGCCAGAGCTGGCTTGGGGGGGGTCACAGGTGCCCCCGTATGGGGCAGAGCGTTGGACAGCTCTGGACTGCTCCCAGGAGTGACCACCCTGAGGGCCTCCTTCCTTTCTGTCCTCCCCCTCCAGTCCGTCGTCTACTGCCACGGAGGGCGCGTTGGCTTCTTCCAGGGAGACATCCGCCTCCTCTCAGATGACATGAAGGCCCTGTGCCCCACCATCTTCCCAGTGGTGCCCCGCCTGCTGAACCGCATGTACGACAAGGTGAGCCTCGCGGGGAGCCTTTGCTCGTTCGGACAGAGGCTGGAGCCCCCAGGCAGACTTTCTCCACCTCCAGCCCCAGGTCCTGAAAGTCGCCTCCTCTCGTATATCCTGACTCTCACCCCTGCTTCTCCTGTTTTCTTCCTGCGCTCCAAAACCCTGGTTGGGAGATTTTGAGGGGAAGGAAGCTTCTTTCTCAGCTGTGTGCCTGGGCCTTGGTAGTGTTAACCTTTAGCTGGATGTCACACATTTAATGAAGCTTCTGCTTCCCTGGTGCCTCAGTTGGTAAAATGTCTGCCTGCAATGCGGGAGACATGCGTTCAATCCCTGGGTTGTGAAGATCCCCTGGAGAAGGGAATGGCAACCCACTCCAGTATTCTTGCCCGGAGAATTCCATGGATTGAGGAGCCTGGTGGGCTACAGTCCACAGGGTCACAAAGAGTCGGACATGACTGAGTGATTAATACTTTCACTTGCAGGGGCAAAATTAGTGTGGCTTCTCTGCTGACCAGTTTGAGCTTTCTTCCTGGGAGTATGTCTTGAGGTGGGGTATGTGCTCCTTACAGCTGTTCCCAACTTCTGTTCCTCAGATCTTCAGCCAGGCAGACACTCCATTAAAGCGCTGGCTCCTGGAGTTTGCAGCAAAGCGTAAGCAAGCCGAGGTCCGGAGTGGAATCATCAGGAACGATAGTATCTGGGATGAACTCTTCTTTAATAAGGTTCAGGTGAGAAAATGAGCAAGTGATGATGGAGTGGCACCCAGGTATCCAGTGGATGACCTTATAGAAGAACTGGAGAAGTTCCATCCCAGTGGCATGGCATGTAATCTTATAAAACAGTAACTTATTTGCCAATGAAATCAAAGCTTAAGCTACCATTGAAATTTTAAAGGACTCATTTTTGTTCTTTGGAGATGTGTTATATTTGCCTGCCGCAACCAGCAAGAGTTCTTGGACTCCTGGGAAGTGAATTCCTTGGCCTCTGTAGGCAGTAGGACAGCTTTGCCTGTGGGTGGTCGGGTTCACCAGGGATCTCCTGGGACCTGAGGATTTTCTCGCCCCCTCCCTGTAACCTCAAGAATCTTCCTTTCCCTCCCTGTTTCCCATCCCTTCAACTTCTCCCCAACCAAGCCGTATATGAATTACTCATTCCTGTATCCCCACTAAAGTTGTAAAGCTCTGCATCACACAAAGAATTTGTAGTTAATTAGAGGAGTGAGCATTACTCATTTTTCCTTACTACTCTATTTTTAGCTATGAAAATGAATATTTAAAATCTCTTGGCTCAACTTACAGAAACAAAGTGCTTAAAAAATTCATTGTTCTCTGCTGGGCATAGGTGAATAGCTCATGGCATTGATTTAGAAATGAAAAAAAAAAAAAAGGCCATGCCATTGAGGTGCAAGTGGGAAGAAATTGTCCTAAGTAATTGTTTTGGATCCTTGCACACAATGAGAGAGTGAGGGAACAGCTGTGTATTTTAAGAAAAGGAGAACCAAAATTACAGAATGCCGCACAGATTAATGGCTCATGTCTCAAAATACATAAAAGAGCTAGCCAGCCGTACCATGGCTTGGGTTGCAAAGCAATTTGGATCGATGCATTTGGAAGGAGAAGGCCCCTCCTCACCTCAGCTCTTGGGTTGTACAACCTCAGGCTGCCTCTGATCCCAACTTCAGGGTCCAGGTTAGGGTGCAACTGTGGTGTGTTTTTGTTAAGTGAGACCCAGGCGAGCTGCATGTCGCCTGCAGCAGCACAGACTCTGGCATGTTCTTCTCTCTCCCCACAGGCCAGTCTTGGTGGGTGCGTGAGGATGATTGTTACTGGAGCAGCCCCCGCATCACCCACGGTCCTGGGATTCCTCCGGGCAGCTCTGGGCTGCCAGGTACTGCCTTTATGTGGCCTTCCCTGGGGGCAGTGGGGTGTACATTAGGACAGGGCAGGGAGCCCACTGTTCCCTCTTCTGTATAGAGAAATAACCCTAGGGGCAAGATTTTTGTGGAGTAAAAGCTCCCTTCTTTGAAGATGTAAAAACCCTAAGGGTCACTAAAAGCCAAGATAGCCTTGTGCGATCCCATAGAAGGCAGCCCTGGTGGGCTCCCCCATCCCTGGGATTCTCCAGGCAAGAACACTGGAGTGGGTTGGCATTTCCTTCTCCAATGTATGAAAGTGAAAAGTGAAAGTGAAGTCGCTCAGTCATGTCCAACTCTTAGCAACCCTGTGGACTGCAGCCTACCAGGCTCCTCCATCCATGGGATTTTCCAGGCAAGAGTACTGGAGTGGGTTGCCATTGCCTTCTCCGGACTCATGCAGACTATATAGTAACATAGTTGTGGTTGGTGGGTTTTCAGTAAAGTAGGCATATATATTTCATAAATGTGCACGCTTAAAATTTTATGCTTTGGAAGTTGTGGGCTTCTTGAGACTTCCCTGGCAGTCCTGTGTTTAGGACTCAGTGATTTCACTGCTGGGATCCTGGTTTCGATCCCTGGTCAGGGAACTAAGATCCTGCAATCCTCCCCACCCCACAAACACAAAAAAAAAGGAAGGAAAAAAGAAGCTTTGGGCTTCTACACTGACCCTCCTGTTATTCAGCAACATGAGCTGGCCTCTCCTAAAGGCTGCTCTCCTACATGGTCTAGTCATGCCAGCACATGGGGCTCTGAAGGGAAATAGCTTACAGAGACAAAAGAAAACCTCTAATGGATTTTAAAATGTTTGTCTTTACTATGTATTATTCAAACTGAAAATAAAGTCAGTGGTTGAAAAAAGAAGTCTTTATCCCAAACCACATAACCTTATCTACTAAGTGTCTCTGGTAAAAATAGCATTTCTTCCAAGCAGAGTAGGCATGCCTGTTATCTGTGTCCAGTTTCTCCTGGAGTCATCTAGTTTCAGGGCACCATCCCCAGCCAGGAGCAGCCAGATGCTCAGTGGGAGGTTAGCTGACTGAAAAGGGCAGCCAGTTACCTGCAGGAGGGGGCACATCTCCAGTGCAGTTTTTGTGTTTTGCTTGAAGGTTTATGAAGGTTACGGCCAAACTGAGTGCACAGCGGGATGTACCTTCACCACACCTGGGGACTGGACCTCAGGTAGGATGGGCTGGAGATGTGGGAATGAGTTAGAACAGCAAGCTCGAAAACTTCCTCTTGGGGAGGATACTTACAAGGGCACTTAGGAAATAGAAGAAAAACATCCACGGTGGTTTTGTCTGTGTTATGGCATTATGGAGCTAGTTTTTTTGTTACATATTTTTGTACTCCCTTTTTTTTGTATTTTCCTATTTCTTTCATAGATAATTAGAAGTCACGTTTTAACAGAAAAGTAACAGATCACAAAATACAGCTCCAGATAGAAAAATACCTATAATATTAATATATTGGATTTTATAGTTTCTAAATATCACAGTCTAGCCTATAGTCATGTTAGAATGAAGGAAGCAGGCTGCAAATTGGATATGACCTAAGAGGGAGGGACAAGTTTATAGCAGCCAATGTGCTGTTTCTTGAAGGGCCATTTCAGAGGCTCTTTGGAACTATAGTCTCCTGTGACTGCAACATCTAAAAGGCAGTGGTAACCTCAGAGAGGAGCAACTACTGCCCACACCCTCATTCTGAGGAGACTTATTTTTCGGGGCAAGGAGGAGGCAGTAGGTATTGGCCTACATGTATTGGCCATCACCAAATTTAGACCAAATGCTAGAAGAATCTGAAAAACATTCGTCAAAAGACTCCTTCCAGATACCAGCTTCCTCTGTGAGCCTGGGGCTACCCTTCATGCTTAAGTTTGCTCAGCTATAACTAGAAAACTTGGAATGATGTGCACAGGAAAGAAACATGCTTAGTAACGCAACTATTTTCTGAGCACCTTGAGGTAGTCAGCAGAAACATGATAGGTGAATTCTAAATTGAAATCCTATTTGGCCAAGTGAGGCATAGAAGCATTTTTTTTTCTTCTGAGTTTTATCTCCTTAAACTTCTGCTGAATAAAGTATATCTTATATGCAAAGTTTTTGGTTTCCCTACCACTGGCACATTTACTACAAGGACTGTATTCTGAGATCGTGACTCATTAACTTTTTTCTTGTAATGCCATATTATATACTGATTGCTTACATATGGCCCTTCCTTTTGGACACTTTCTTCCCTCTTATGATATCTGCTGCATTATCACATGTGAAGGTTTGGAGGTTTTACCTTTTTTAGGCATCCTTACCATAAAAACATATGAAAGTTTATCAAGTATGAGAGGATAGCTGTCTTTGTACAATACTGTAAAAGATTTGACAATCTCTCATTTAAAAGAGAATGTGTCAGAGCCTCCTTTTTGTTTTCATGGCTCACTTTATTTCAGGACCTTGGCCAGCACCTTCATAAAAATCCTCCCCTTTGCCAGTAATCCATGTAACAACCACAGTTATTAGAACATAGCTTAGATGTAGTTTTGTGGTTGGAATATATAAGACCAAAAAAATGTAAAGTCTTATTTGGGGTGGTGGGGGGGAGAGAATTGTAGATGATTTTTATGCACATTAATCAATAGTCTAGTGACTGGGAGAAAAGCAATAATGACTATTTTATGATCCTCAAACTGAAAGAACAAAGCGAGTGGAGGTGATGGGATTCCAGTTGAGCTATTCCAAATCTTAATGATGCTGTAAAAGTGTGAAAGTGCTGCATTCAATATGCCAGCAAATTTGGAAAACTCAGCAGTGGCCATAGGACTGGAAAATCCAAAATCATTCCAATCCCAAAGAAAGGCAATGCCAAAGAATGTTTAAACTACCGCACAATTGCACTCATCTCACTGGCTAGCAAAGTAATGCTCAAAATTTTCCAAGCCAGGCTTCAGCAGTATGTGAACTGTAAACTTTCCAGATGTTCAAGCTGGATTTAGAAAAGGCAGAAAAATAAGAGATCAAATTGCCAACATTTGCTGGATCGTCAAAAAAGCAAGAGAGTTTCAGAAAAACATCTACTTCTGCTTGATTGACTATGCCAAAGCCTTTGGCTGTGTAGATCACAACAAACTGGAAAATTCTTAAAAAGATGGGAATACCAGACTACCTGACCTGCCTCCTGAGAAATCTGTATGCAGGTCAAGAAGCAACAGAACTGGACATGGAACAACAGACTGGTTCCAAATTGGGTAAGGAGTACGCCAAGGCTGTATATTGTCACCCTGCTTGTTTAACTTATATGTAGAGTACATCATGTGAAATGCCAGGCTGGTCAAGCTGGAATCAAAATTGCCAGGAGAAATATCAATAATCTCAGATATGCAGATGACACCACCCTAATGGCAGAAAGTGAAGAACTAAAGAGCCTCTTGATGAAAGTGAGAGGGGAGAGTGAAAAGTTTGGCTTCAAACTCAACATTCAGAAAACTAAGATCATGGTATCCCGTCCCATCACTTCATGGCAAATAGATGGGGCAACAATGGAGATAGTGAGAGACTATTTTTTTGGACTCCAGAATCACTGCAGATGGTGACTGCCACCATGAAATTAAAAGATTCTTGCTCCTTGGAAGAAAAGTTATGACCAACCTAGACAGCATATTAAAAAGCAGAGACATTACTTTTCCAACAAAGGTCTGTCTAGTCAAAGCTATGGTTTTTCAAGTAGTCATATATGGATGTGAGAGTTGGACTATAAAGAAAGCTGAGCACCAAAGAATTGATGGTTTTGAACTGTGGTATTGGAGAAGACCCATGAGAGTCCCTTGGACTGCAGGGATATCAAACCAGTCAATCTTCAAGAAAATCAGTCCTGAATATTCATTGGAAGGATTGATGCTGAAGCTGAAACTCCAATACTTTGGCTACCTGATGCGAAGAACTGACCCATTGGAAAAGACCCTGACGCTGGGAAAGATTGAAGGTGGGAGAAGGGGACAACAGAGGATGAGATGTTTGGATGGCATCACTGACTCCATGGACATGAGTTTGAGTAAGCTCCAGGAGGTGGTGATGGACAGGGAGGCCTGGCGGGCTGCAGTCCAGGGGTCTCAAAGAGTCGGATGTGGTTAAGCGACTGTACTGAACTGAACTGAAACGAAACTAAAAGATACGATCTAATAATGGTGAAATGTCTTAATATAAAAGATCCTGACTGTGTGGTTGCTGTGGGTGTGAGCCTCCCTGCAGATCTGGGCCCTGCAAGTCTGTCCAGCTGGACGGGTGTAGAACAAAGGCCCTGCAGGGGTTGGTTGGCCTCACCTTGCTCCAAAACGTTATCATCAGTGCTTGCTTGTGACAAACGCCTGTCTAAAGGTGTATTGCTTTCCATCCACAGTTCCCCACTTTGACCACTTGAGGGGTTTTACATGGCATGGAGCATCTTCAGTGCTGAAATTGAAATGAACACTGACAAATGCCCCTTTGTTCTGGTGTTCTAGGACACGTAGGGGCACCTCTGCCCTGCAATCATATCAAGCTTGTCGATGTCGAGGAGCTGAACTACTGGACCAGCAAAGGAGAAGGAGAGGTAAACTTGAGTGTTTAGCCATTCATGTCTGTGGATGCTTCATTATGTAGGAAGTAAAAGGGAAAAAAAAAAGGAATTATTTTCCTTTCACCCTATGTGTAAAGTCATTTCATATTCCTGACTAATTTAAGCCCAACTAAATTGAGCATTTCCTCTCCTGTTTACGAAGTAACCAACCCCCAAGGATGGGACTGGGCTTATCTAAATAAGATTTGGGATTGCTAAACTTTTTGTAAAAATCCACTTTTTTTTCCTTAACTGGCATGGCTTGCTGCTATGTATCTGTCGAAACAGAAACATGACCATTTGGAGATAGGCCAGATGGGGTAGATAGAGCTTGCCTGCAATTGCTGATCCCATGGGAGTGGATGGGAATGTGAGTGCCTGGTCATATGGCGGGGCGTCAGGCATCTCTGGCAGAATCAGCCAGCCTTCTGTCTCCAGGGAGATGCCATCCCGTGCTACAGAGCTGGGTTCCTGAGGAAGAGGGGATGGCAGAGGCCGGTCTGGGGTGGCCAGAGCAGAGAGGTCACTGCTTGAGAGAATGCTGGTGGCCATTCCTGTCCTCTCTTTCCACCACTGTGGTTTCCGCAGTGGATTTCCTGAGGGATAGTGTACGTCTACACGTGCCTCATGACAGCCTCCTATCAGGGTTCCTTATGCTGCGTCCTGAGAGAAACCAGGTGTTTGTCCCTACAGATATGTGTGAGAGGACCAAATGTGTTCAAAGGTTACTTGAAAGACCCAGAGAGGACAAAGGAAGCCCTGGATGAGGACGGCTGGCTTCACACTGGAGACATCGGGAAGTGGCTGCCGGTGCGTACGTTGGAACCATGGACCTCCACACATTTTGGTGGTGGGAGTGTGTGTCATCTGGTTCACTTCCAAGGCAGGAGTCTTCACGTCCACCCCGACAATCAGTCATTCCAGAAAACCCCCGGGAATTGGGAGGTTCTTCCTTACCTTGCCCCCAAAGCTTCCTTCTCCATCCTCCTGATGAAGGTGACAGGGATCTTTGGGGAGCATAGAACTGGAGTTTGAGGCCCACTGCCTACCCTTAAGTGGCTTCCTAGAAGAAGTCTGACAGTGCTCTGGAATCTGATGGATAAAGTATTATACATGGAACAAGGGGTTCATAGCTCTAGGAGATCTGAGAAAGGCAGGGCCTGGGACACTGGCCTCCAGCTGAGAGGTGACACTGAGCGATGTGAAAAGCTTGGAGCTGAGCAGGAGGATTCTAGGGTTCTTTTGTCTCTGCTAGCAGCTACTCCGGTGACCTTGAACAAAGCTTTATCCCTCCCTGTGGCTTTGTATTAACTCACTTGTAGAATAAGAAAGTAAGTTACATGGCATTCTTTAGCTGTGGCCCCCAACTTTTAGTTAAAACCAGTTATGGTGATTCATTCTATTATTTGTAAAATGAGGGTAATAATATTGCTTACCTCTGTGGTCATGTTGTAAGGAAGAAATTAGATTACAATGTACCTGTAAAGCCCTTAACACACTACCTGGCACATAGGATATGCTTAGGTGAAAGCTATGACCACAGAAAGCCTCCATCCCTGAAACTAAGAGCCCCCCACCTGCTCCAGCGCACCCCAGGAAACCATTCCTGTGTCTCTGGGAAACTGCTAAGGCTTTGGGTGGATGTTCTGAGATGTCGAGTTTATCAGGCAGGTTAGTGATGTTGAGCCCTCCAGGGGCTGGTGAGCTGATTTGCCCTTGCTTGGAACTGTGCACTTCACTGGGAGATACCCTCACTCCTGCAGCAGACATGCCTGTGTCCCCGCCACGTACCCAGGACCAAGGACTCTGCTCAGGGAAGAGACACATCTTTAGACGCTACCCAACCCAGTGTGATGGGCGTGAGATGACGGCCATGCTCACCTGGGGGAGAAGCAGAGAACAGGCGTCCACTGGCTCTGAGTCTCAGGATTTAAGTCCTGTTCCAAGAGAGCGAAGAGCAAGAAGGACAGTCAGGGCAGGAGTAGTAGCTGCGCTAAGTTGAGGAAAACTAGGGTGTGAGGCAAGCACTTCTAGCCGAGAGCCCACAGTGGAGGAGAGGGGCTGGAGAAGCAAGCAGGGCCCTGGACACTGGCAGAGGGCAGATTGTCCCTAATGGGGACAGCGAAGCCCAGGCTTCAGCCCTTGCTTGTATAGGCCCCTTTCAAGGCTCAGTACTTCATTTTATATTATTAGGGGGGAATCCTCAAAATTGGGGAGAAACTTGAAGTCCCACAAAACTGCATCTGCCACTGATGCCCTATAACTCAGATGAAACCACCCATCTTGCAGGGTGTTGTGAGAAGCAAGTAAATTGATTCATGCTTGAACTCACAGCCCAATGCAGTGGGCAGGCAGTCTGTGGGAGTCAATTTTTTAAATTATTATTATTTTGGAATAGTATTAGATAGGGAAAAATTATAAGTTTCTGATCTGGAAAGACCTGATGTAAGTCCTGGTTCTCTCACCTCCTACCTGCTTGGCTTTGGAGGAGTTGACTGACCTCTCTAATCCTCACCTTCATCATTTATGAAATGGAGGTGATGACACCCAACTCATGGGGTGCCACGAGGCCCAAAGAAGCCAGTGTAGCCAAAGTGCTTGATGTCTAGGCAGGATTTTGAGCAAAACAAGGCCTGCCTGTTTTTCTCTTCTGGTGAGATGACTGTGGTTCTGGTAAGTGAACAGATAGAGCAGGGCCAGAGTGTGTGCGCAACGTTAGATAAGGAAGTGGTTTTGATGGGAGGAAGAGTCAACTGTGAGAAGGATTTATGCATGAGGATGGGAGAGCCTGACTGCTGGAAGTCCCAGGAGAGCGCAGTGGCGAGGCCGTCTCTAGGTCTGGGGCGTGGGGAATGGGGCAGGCTTGAGGAGGAGGAGGAGGCGGGCCATCCTTTAGGGCACACTGCATTGTGCAGGGCAGGCAGCCTGGCTTTTTTTTTTTTCTTAAGTCTTCTGAGGAGAGTGAGGTTCTGAAGCTGGAACTCAGTGAAGAGCTCCGGCAGGAAGCTCAGACAGATGCAGGAGTGGCCATGGAGGAGATAAATGGTAGTTACCTCAAGGGACATTGTCAGTAGAAATGAGGACATGGCAGCATTCAAGGGTTGAGCCAAAGGAGAGAGACCACCCTTTTTATCTCAGAAATTCAAAGAGACATAAGGGAGTCAGGGAAGTGGGTGGGGGTCCTGGAAGCCAGGGGCTCAGCACTCACTGCCCAGGGGTGGCCTGCCTGCCGCAGACATCTCGGAGAGAGAGGGTCCCTCCTGCCATCTGGGGGCCTCCTCCAGAGCTGTGCTGTGTGCCGACGGATGGAGCGTCCACCCCTTGGGAGTGGTGGCCTAAGCATGGTTCACGGGGGTGAATCTGAAGATTCTGATGGCAAAGGGGACAGCTGGAGCCCCAGTGGGAAGGCAGGGAGCCTTCTGATGAGGAAGACACCTGTTGCTGGGCACCTGGCTGGCAGGTGGGAGGGGGAATGGGGCACATGCTGAGGGGAAAGGACAGTGGGCACTCAGGGCCCAGCAGAGCTTGAGAGCCGTCCACTGTGTACACACCGTCCCTCTCTGGCCGCATGATGACTTCATGAGGGCAGAGATGTCGGGTGCACGAGCAGATCCAGTGGGGCGTGCAGGGTGGGACAGGGTGGGGGTTGAGGGGCTATGGCATGAATAAGTGAGGGGCTATGGCATGAATAAGTGAGGGGCTCAAGCTTGGGAATGCCATCTTTTTATGAAGCTGCTTGTCCAACTCCACAGGCTGGTACTCTTAAAATTATTGATCGGAAGAAGCATATATTTAAACTTGCTCAGGGAGAATATGTTGCGCCCGAGATGATTGAGAACATCTACATTCGGAGCGAGCCTGTTGCTCAAGTCTATGTCCACGGGGACAGCTTAAAGGTGAGTCCCCAGGCTTCAGCCCTCCCACACGTGGCCAGGCCTGATGAGAATTTGGGGAATGATTTCCTAAGTATCTGGTATTTGATTTAAAGTGATGACCATTCATTTCCAATCAGACACTGGTATTATCTGGCATATAAGATCAGGAGAGAAAGGGAGAAATCTTAATTGCTTATAGTTTGATAAATTTGCAGTTAGGTAAAGAAGTTGCTTGAAGTAGTAGTAATGCACATTCCCACTACTTTTAACTTATGCTTCATCTACTTCCAAGAGAAATTTTGAGATCTGAAGTCAGAAAGATCATTGTGAATATATTCTGTGCTATCATTGCATGCTCAGTTGCTTAGCTCTGTTTGACTCTACAACCCTATGGACTGTAACTCTCCCAAGGCTCCTCTGTCCATGGGACTTCCCAGGCAAAAATACTGGAGTGGGTTGCCATTTCCTCCTCCAAGGAATCTTCCCGACCCAGGGATTGAACCTGAGTTTCTTGCATCTCCTGCGTTGGCAGGCAGATTCTTTGATACTGTGTCATCTGGGAAGCCCCTGTGATGTCATTAGATTTATGTAGTTAAACACTTTTTTTTTTTAAGAAAATACTTTAAAAATTAAAATTGTGTTCTTGATGAATGAGGACCATATTAATGAATCAATTTCAAAATGGTCTGGAAATCCTTAGAAATGTATGTCTTTTGGATCGTATAGTTGGGTGATTAGTATCCTAAAGATGGTCTCATTTAAATTTGTCATTAGAATCAAAGGTACATACAGGACTAACCTTACTGATTTTTAATCTCCTTTAAGCTTATTTTTTAATTAATCAATCTTTTACAAAGTTAAGGAAATATATCTGAAACATTCAAGAATATTTCAGTCAAGAATGTGTGATATGTTAGTGGAAGTGTTTCATAAGCATATACATATTTTTAGGAAAGAGTGGAGTCTGAGAATACCAAGCTAAGTTTTAATGCTGGACCACAAATAACCACTTTAAAAACTTTTGTCATAACTGTGTTTTCCTCTGGTGGGATCACAGGCCTTTTTGGTGGGCATTGTCGTGCCCGACCCAGAAGTCATGCCCTCTTGGGCCCGGAAGAGAGGAATTGAAGGGACATATGCAGAGCTCTGCACAAATAAGGTCTGTACCTGGGGGCTGTTTCCTCAAAGCCTGCTGGACCTTCTATGATACTGCTTAATGAGAGAACACAAAAACAGTAGCCCAAGTGAAATTTGACCCAGTAGAGAAATTTGCAACTTTATTTTATAAGTGGTTGGAGTCCTAAACCAGAGGTTTGTCTTTTGTTATTGTTATAGAAGAACCTTAATTCCTCTTAGAATACTTGATAAATGTTTGAACTTTCCAGCCAGGAGACATCACAGAAAGCTTGCTTAGCTGTTTTGCACCTTGCAGGAGAGTCCAGGGAGTGAGGGGGCTTGCCCAAAGCCACACAGCTGGTTAACAGCAGTGTCAGATGTGAGCATAGGCCTTCTGATGGCCCTGTTCTCTCCTGATGAGAGGTAGATTTTGTGTCTACTGGGCTTAGAGAGATGGTCATGGAATTGCAAAAGGAGCACAGTTCTCCCTGCTGAGAGCATTAGCTGTTCACACCTTCCAGAAACCTCCTGGCACGTGCACAGTTCTATGGAAGAGGATCTCTGTGCCCTGACTCAGCATCAGCCCTTCAGTTACATGGTCTGTTTCTTAGCAGTGTGAACTCTAGAGCTCCCACCAGGCCCTGGGCTCCTCTGGGGGTGACAAGGCACCTGGGACTCAGCAGGCTGACCAGAGGGCCAATTTTTAAAAAAGCTGAGTAGTCCCTTAGTCTGCTCTCGGGCTCTCCTTAGGCCTTGCCAGCACTTTACTTACCAGATGAGAGGTGGTGATTGGCTTGCTGCCAGCGAGTGTCAGCCGTAGCTGGGGGTTCAAACGGTGGGGGGACGGGTTGGTGTGGTTACTAGTTGTACTTTGCTCAAAACTCATTGATTCTTCTATCTCCATTTTGAAATGTGATTTATTTTGCCTTGTAATTTTACCTATATGGTTTGATTCAGGAGCTGAAAAAAGCCATTTTGGAAGATATGGTGAGATTAGGAAAAGAAGGTGGACTCCACTCTTTTGAACAGGTAACTGTTACCTTTTCCATACTTGTTAACGTCCTTTATGTAGGGATGAAAATTAAAGTCTCCAACGGTGACCCTAACCTAGATTCCCCATCCTCCACACTGTGGTCTGCAGGTAGTCTATGTACTAGCAGACCTCTGAAGACCTGTTCCAAGCTGACTTTGCAACAACATGCAATCTAGCTAAAAGAGGTCATATGCTAAGTGAGACTGCACTCATTGTCCTCAGAATAACAAATGTTCATAAAGCTGAAATATTTTCCTAGCTGTCACTGGTAGAGCATGTCTACATGGTGTGTCTCCGAGCTGCGGGCGATACTCAAGAGCAGCAGAGCCCTGTCTCATTTTTATTTTTATGGGGACTGTCTTCTTGGCTTGCAGCCAGCGATCTTACTTGCTGGGACATGGAAAAGATTGCACTTCTGGGGCCAGGGATCTGTCAGCCCAGCGTGCCCTTTACAAAGAGGAGGAAACAAAGAGTGTGCTGGGAGTGGACACAGCAAACCTCTTAAGACTTTTTGACATTTCAAGCTTGGGCCTCTTTTTTGTAACTGAATTCATGAGCATACTTGGTCCTTCTTACACATACCATTTATAATCCTCTGTAGTCAAAAATTCAAAAATACAATTCTTTAAACAGAAAAATATTAATGTGGATTTTTAAAAATCCCCCAGTATGCATTTAATATAATTGCTTTTCATAAAATGTTTCTCCAAGAACAGAGCCTGTAAGGTTTATGAGAATTTTTAAATTTTATATGTTCATTTTGATGTTAACCTAAAAGCATTTTTAAACCAGTTTTAAATATATCGCTAAAATTCTTACAGCAATTATTTGGCAATTAGAAAACAGTTCCACAGATTAAGACTTTAATTTCTTAAGTTTCAAACTGAGGAAATCTAAGTAAACACAGTTTCAGGGTTTGAGAAAAATGTTTTTCTTTTGAAATAGATCTTTACATTAATCTAGGTTGAGAAACACTGCTTTGCCTGCATCTGTCAGCATGTTTTCAGACAGATAAGACCTAGATAAATATATCCTTATTTTAAAAAACTATAAAATCTAAGGCATTCAGGGAAGTCACATATATCTTTCTGAATGCAAAGTCAGTTCTGGCATGATAATTATTTAAATTTTTAAATCTGCTAGAACTGACTTCATTGCTTCTCCATTAAGGGAAGCTATGTGACTACAGACAGGATCCTCTATGTAGAGCAGGGGCCACAGAGTGGTTGGAGATTTGGTGGCCTGGGCCTCTTTGTTAACTGAATGGCTGGCAGTAAGGGCGATGGGGGTGCGCTGGGGATCCTACAGATATCCTTGTGATTCCCAAGGCTTGCACGCCCCCTGCTGGATGTGGGCTGTGTGACCTGCCTCAGGGTACATGGAGAATTGTAAGAGATTCTCCTTCCTGGAAAGGACTACCACTCTTAAAAGATTATGTTTAAAGAAACTTTTGGTTCAATTTCCAGTGTTAACCATTGCTCCAATTAGAGCTTTTACTGAGAGGGGGCCCATTCTTGACTTTCCATATGCCTTAAGCAGAGTTTCTGCTCTATTACTCTGCCCTCGCCATGGTAACCTCACATACAGAGAAGTCATGTGGGTCCCAAAGGCCCGAGTTTCTTTGCCAGGGCTGTTATCTCTTCATTTTCTCTGTTCTCACTCTCCTCTTTGTTGGTCTGTGGCATCCTCCCCACCGCAGCCAGTGCATACCCTCAGCTGACCACAGGCGAGCAAAAACCAGGCTTCATAACTAAGAAGGGTGTGCTCCTCACTGTATTCTAAAGCTTGACATAAATTATTCCAGTTAAGCCATAATCTATTGTCAGCTAGTCCTTTTCCCTTTCCTCATAAAGGAATGATCAATTAAGGCTTTTGCTAATTTTTTAACAGCACCCTCCCCTGCTGCCCCCACCCCAAATACATGCCCAAGGCTAAAATCATTCAACAGATACATTAGGAGTTGAGACTTACTGGGCAGGATTGATCTGAATTAAACTTTGAATTAGATGAAAATTTAATGTAATTTAATTTTCAGAAACAGACAATTCCTAGAACTAGGCCAACCATCATTAATTTAGGGAGATCTTTGGAAGACATTTCTTAATGAGTAGATAGGAAGCATTTAAAATAACTGTATCAATAATTAAAACATATAGGTTCTTGGGAAGTATTTGAGCATACTTAACCATGACTTAACCATTCTCTTGACATTTATATGGCTTATTAGTTTGTATAGGCATATAAATACAAAGTGAACTTTGAAACTTAATAGATTTTTCAAATCCTGACTGCAGAGCCCTTGCTAAATATCTTTTACTGTATTTTCTGTCATTGAAATGAATACTTACCTAATCAGTTTGCCTTTAAATCAGAAATTAATTGAGCATTTCCCTAATTAATTAAATTTTAAAAAATTTCTCCTGTCCTAAATTATTTATTTTGTATTTGTTATCTACAGGCAGTATTGTGTGTTAAAGTGTTTCACTGAATAATTCCATTGAATGATTTTTCAGGATTATGAAAATTTCTATACTTAGTGAGTTGGCATAAATTGACACTTGTGAAACATTATATTCCAATATAAAATTTAAATGTTACAGTGTCTTTAAATTTAAAAAAAAAAACTATGAAATCACTGGTAAGAGTATAGTTTCAGAAAAGGAGCTAACATCAAGTATCTCCTTCCTTCTTTCCACAACAAAAACTTTGCTTATTGCAAACTTGAAAACACGTTTTATGTTGTGTTAGGCATAATGGGAGAATAAAGACTCATCCCTTTTTCCCAGCCACAGTCCAACAATTTGGTTTTATTAGAAAATATGTAATTATTTATAGAAAACAAAAATTGGTAAGTTTTGAGAAATTTTTTTTTTTCTGGGGGAAAAAAGAAAACTAGGTTGGCGACCCACAGTTAAAGTCAGTGTTAGCTAAAGAACTATTTTGACTCATTTTTTCCCAATTACTGATTAGATTTTAGTTACTGGAGCAATTTGTACAGGTATTTTCATGGAAGGATTTAAATAGACCCAGGGCCGTAGGTCAGGCTGGAGCAGGGCCTGGCAGCAGTGCCACTTTGATCTGTTTGTTAAGTGGCTGAAAGGCAAGCTGAGCGCCATATTGCTTGGCTTCCTGCAAAAACAAAGACTGTATTTGTTTCCTCTCCCCAGGAAGAGACTATGTTGTAGAGAGCCACAATGAACTGCAGATGCCCCAGTCAGCACTTTAGGCTTGCTGCAGGTAGCTGGTTTGACAGATACTCAGAATCTACCAGCTGATGCAGTTCTTTCTTCCTAAGATCATAATCTTACTTTTACATTCTACTTACCATCTTAATAGCATAATAGCATTGGTAGCTCTCCCTGTGAGAGTCATCTTCCCCGTACTGTACCGTCTGAAGCTTCTACTTATCACTGCTGGATTTTCAAAGGTGTTCACGCAAGTCCCTGTAGTGAATGTAGACTCTTGTCTCAGTTACACATGTTCTCCACATGTATCTGCTGTTAGGAATGCAGATAAGCTGAAACCCAGGCTGCAAGGACACTGTAGAAATTTATATTTTGGCATTGGCATCTCCTTGTAAAATTATATTATTATTTTCATTTACAGCAGAAGGTGGATACATTGTTTACACTTGTCAGAAGTCTTCCCGTGCTGCTGTTTCTATCAGAAGGAGCTAAGGATGTTAGCTCTGTCAGTTTTTTAGTTTTTCATTTCATGACAGTAAACATGAGTTGCAAAGTTAAAGCACTGTATCTTGGGTTAAGTTTTATTTGGATTTTGTTCATATTTTCTTAATGCTAACTAGTCTTGTTATCAAATCGTGATTTCCAAACTTAAGCAGCAGAACTTAGATGACATGTACCAGACATAAGAGCAGAGCTGCTCTAGTAGATCTAGGGCTTGAGCCAGAGCCTATCTCCTACCCCCACTTTCAACCCAACCCCCTCAGTTACCCCTGCCCCACTCCACCTTCATGCACCTCTGCCTTTCCCCCACTTCATCCCACCCCTGCCTGTCAACACCTCACCTTCATGCCCACGTCCACCTCCACACACCCATCCGCAGTGGCCACTGCAGAAGCCCTGGTTCTCGATGTACTATGGTCCAAAACATCTCCCTTGGGACCTGTTTCCAGTGACTTTTGGATCCCCTAGGATGATTTGTGTTTGATAAAAGCAGATTAGGAAAAAAGTATATTCCAGAGGGTACAAAACCTGGCAGCCCTGTTCCTTACCAACCCCAGCAACCAACTTACTTACGCGCTTCTTTGAATATCAACATCACTGGGGGAATTTTCAAACAAAACACTTACTACAAGGACCTTTACAAATTTTGAAACATTAGATAATGCCTCTTTTTTGGGCAGGAGCCTCAGATTTCCACCTATTCATATTGGATATCCAAGTAGAAATCCTTCAGATGTGTGAAGTAAAGTTGAGGCTGCTACATGTAGTGCTAGCTTTAGTTTTAGTGTAGTCCTGTCCTCCCCTTCTCACCACACATGGTCCCCTTAAAATGCTATTCTTTCTCCAGCAAAAGTGAATTCCTTCATTTGAACAAATTTCTAAGAGACAAAGGGGAATCTCATTTGTTAATGTTATGCTCATTTAAAAACCACATTTTTTAAATTAAAAGCATGCATTTAAAAAATGCCAGAATTTGTTAGAATTTTTCTTGAAAGCTTTTTAAAAAGTAGAAAGTGTAGCTGTTCTAGGGGTCTTCTTTGAATATTGAGTCTTTGATCTGAAAAATCAATGAATGCAATGGAGAATTTTCCGAGCAAAGAATTCTTTGTCATATCACAATATCCACCTGCCAGAACACGAGACCATTGGCATCAGAGATTTTGAAAACAATCCTTGACATGTTGAATTTTTTGTGACTATTTGCATGCATTGATTTTTTTCCCAAGTTTTTTCTGGTTGTTAAATATGCATAACATAAAGTTTACCATCTTAACCATTTTTAAATGTGTAGTTCAGTGGCATTAGTACATTCATAATGTACAACCATATCACCATCCATCTCTGTAACTCTTTTCATCTTGTAGAATGAAACTCTGTACCCATTGAACAAAAAATTTCCTTCCTTACCCCCAGTCTCTGGAAACCACTATTTTACTTTCTGTCTCTATATGACTTTGACTACTCTAAGTATATTATCTTTTTGTGTCTGGCTTATTTCACTTAGCATAATGCCCTCAAAGTTCATCTGTGTTGTAGCATGTGTCAGAATTTCCTTCCTTTATAAGGTAAAATTTCACCATATATCTCTGTCACATTTTGCTTATCCATTCATCTGTCAGTGGACATTTGGGTTGCTTCTCCATTCTAGCTGTTGTGAATAATGCAATCCTGCTTTCAATTCTTCTGGATACACACACCACACACACACACTCCCCAAAGTGGAATTGCTGGGTCCTATGGTAATTCTGTTTTTAATTTTTGGAGGAACTGCCATACTGTTTTCCATCGTGGCTGCACTATTTTATATTCCTACCAACAGTGCTCAAGGATTCTGTTTCTCTACATCCTCACCAACACTTGTTATTTTCTCTTTTGGATAATAGCCATCCTAATGGGTGTGAGAGTATTTTGTTTTGTTTTTTAAATAAGTCATTTCCTGATTGTATCCATGGATTTTAAGTAGCAGTTCTCCTATGACAGTAGCCTGTAACACAGGGACCTTGTACTCTTGTTCTCCTGGCTTCTGTAACCCACACCCCCATTACTGGAGCCATAGAGCAGCCTCTCCCTTCCCCTTGTGATTTTCATCTGGCCAAAGCCTGCTTATCCTTCAGAGTTTAACTCAAGCATCCCTTTCCAGTGAATCCTGACCCAGGGGGGGTTAGAGGCTATGTCAGAAATGCGTTCAGCTCTAAAAGAATACCCTCAGTATGTTACATACATAGGGTGTGTTTTTGTGGTTTTCTCGCATAAGAAGTCCAAGACAGGATGTCCAAGGCAGGTACAGGTCTTCAAAGCCCTGGGCACTCTGTCTGTCTTCCTGCTCTCCATTCTGGGTATGTTGGCATATCACCTTATGGTCACAAAGTGGCTGCTACAGCTTTGGACATTGTCCATATTCAAGGAAGGAATAAGGGGGAGTGAGTAGAAATAGGTATATCTGAAACTCATGAGGAAAGCAAAAACTTTCCCTTCTCAGTAGCCAAAAATGGATCTCATGATTACCCGCTTAGTCTCAAGGGAGGCTTGGAAATAGGGAATAGGATTGTCATAATTTACATATAGACCATTTTGGCCCCAAACAAAACCCGGTTTTATTAGCATGGAAGGTGGGGAATGATACTAGCAAAGCAGCGGACAACTGCTTGTCCCTATAGTAGTAACATTCACATGGCAGCATCTCTCATTAGATTGTAAGCCCATGTGGGCAGAGACTGTGTCTTGTTCTTTGCATCCCTGGTGCCTTATACCATACCTGACACATAGTAGTTGCTCAATAAATGATCAGTTCAGCGAAACAGCAAGTGAAAGTATATGTGTATTTAACACATTTAATTTTTTAAGTCTTTATATAGTGATTCCTTTGCTATTTAATACTATGGATCTGTTATCTCAACAAAATAACTAAAGGTAGACCCAGTTGTCAGTCAGGATACAATTTTTTGGAGAGACTGTCATTCCAGGATTCAGCTCAAGCCCAGATGATAAAAGTCCTTGTTGAATTGACAGTGACTCTTTCAGTTGGACTCCCGCATGAGAGGAGCCTGCCCAGGCCTTCCCAGAATAGTTGCTCTTTCTCTCTGGCTCCCCATTCAGCATTGCAGAGAGACTGTGTATGAGGAGGCTTGGGATCTGCCTCATGGAAATAAGCACCATGAACACTACACCTGATCTCTCCATTCCTCCTTCCAATAATGCAATAAAATTTTCTGGCAGAACTTTTTTTTTTAACGTTTACTCATCATGTCCCACCTAGATTTTATATTCCTCCTGTGAATGGCATCTCTTCCATGCAGCCCTCCAAGCCAGAAGCCTGGGAGTCCTCAAAACTGCCTCTTCCTTATTTCATCTCATTTCTCTCTGAATCTCTCTTAGAACCGCTTACTTGACTGTCTCTGTCACTGCTCTAAGCATAGGCCCTTACCTTCTTCTCTCATATGGACTGGTCAGATCCTTCTGATTGGTTTCCCTGCTTCTAGTCTTAACATTTTAAAACACCATGTTCACGTTTCTCTTGGAGAGAACTTTATAAAATGTGTATTCAGCTGTGTTATTGCCCTGTATAAAAATCTTCAGTGCCTTCCTACTATCTTCCTCTAAAACTGCCCCATCTACCAGTTCGGCTTCATCTGCCACCTCCTTGGCCTCCTATTTCATGCAACTACAAAAAGAAACCACTTGGATGTCCTTCTTCATACTCTGCTATTTCTCACTCCGGTAGCTGTGTTCATGTGGTTGCCTCTGCCTGGAATGCCCTTCGCCCACCTCTCCTCCTTAACTGGTTAACTCCTGCTTGTTCTTTAACACTCCCCTAATTTGGGAAGGCTCCCTGGAGTTAGGTGCCCTCCCTCCTGTGTGTACCATCCTCTCCAGTAATTGCCCAGTGTGCACTCCCCAAGGGCAGGGGCGCTCGTGATTCCTCTTTGTCCTCAGTGCCTGGTACGGAGTAAGGAACTCATTCATTTCTGTTGACTGGCTAAATGGAGGAGTAAGAAGGGGATGAGGTGGCTTTCAGATCTATCGAATAAGCTGGCATGCTGTTACAATAACTCTGACTTTTTAAATAGGCCTGTTTTTATATCAGTATTTCTATTCCCATATGCCTGTCTACTTCTACCATATATGCTATGAATGCTGTGTTACACTCCTGATAAAGATGTATTCTGCATTTGGTTTTTAGGTTAAAGCCATTCACATCCATTCTGATATGTTCTCAGTTCAAAATGGCTTGCTGACACCGACCCTAAAGGCTAAGAGACCTGAGCTGAGAGAGTACTTCAAAAAACAAATAGAAGAGCTTTACTCAACCTCCATGTGAAGTTCAAGGAAAGTTCTTCTCCGTATAATGGACAATGTAGCAATATTATAGTTGTTCTTGAAAGTAACAAGTCAGAATGATGCAGCGGAAAATGAAAAGCACTTGACCTTATGACTGAGCCTTTTCCTGTCTCTAGAGGTCTTTAACAATATTTCTCTCATCACTGAGTACACTTTATTTTTATTACAATGATATTGTAGCAAGCTGCTAAAAATATCACAAGTGGCATTGTAAAAAAATTGACTTTTCTTAAGAACTGTGTACCACTAAAAGTAATATATTCTCAATGTTCACAGAACTTCTATTAAATATAAAGGAAAAACATAACTGATACATTGTACTTAATTATTTTTGAAATAGTAAACAGGTATGGCAAATATTGAGGCAAGGTGGACTGCCTTATTTGATAACTGATGGTCAGAATCACAATTAAATCAGACTTAAATGAAAACTAATACAGAATCTTGCTGAAACAGACATGATACATAACTTCTACATAACTTCATAGCTACATAACTTCAGATTCTTTAAACATAATAATCCTTATTGGTGTGGAAATGTTTTCTGTCCAATTTTTACTTTTATTTATGATGAATGCAAATTCAAACATTCTTAAAACAAATGTTATATTTACATAACATTTTACAAAGACTTTTCAATCCATTTCCTTATTTATTAAGCTTATTAAAATATTAGGAGCTACCCAGAAGTAATGTAATATACAACTATTTCAAGGATAGTATGTGTATATTCATGGATGTCTTACCACGTGTATTATGAAAGTTATCTGTTGACTCTACATTGGATGGAGCTTTAGGGAAGACTTGGGATAAGAAACCCAGAATTATTTCTCACGGTGGGCAGCAATTAATATACCAAATTTCCTTGCTGGGTTCTTCCAGTCTTCCATTTTCAACATGTCTATGCCAGGCCTGGGAAACATATGTGGCAATAATTCTGAACAGTTTCTCTTTCTTCCAATAAGACTGTCAAGGCAGGATGTAGGAAGGAGGGGATGTCATCTCCAAATAAAATAATTTTTCAACAACGTATGTTTGAAGAACCTCTTCAAAGTACCCCTAGAAAACTACCTAAGTCCATCATAGATAACTGTCTCCTTGGGGAATAATTTCACGCACAGAATCTCTAAACACTTCTAAGTACCCATGAAAACCTCCTCTCTTGTATTATGTGCTTAAATACTTCTTGTACCTGGGTGCCAACAGTGTCATATAATTAAAGCCCAGCATGAACAGCAATTAAGTCCTAAGCTACAGACTGCATCTGAAGAAGAAACTGTCCCTAGGAAAGTGTTTTTAAAGTGTTTTAATCTGTAGAGCCAGGATCTGAAAATAGACGGGGGCAGTGGTCACAGTCCAGAAGCTCCTTTCACCAGGAGCAGATCCGTACTGTCAATAAGGCTGTGGGTTAGAAACTGCATAATCACATAGGCTTACTAGATGAATCTGCACCAGAGGTGATACATTTCAGTCTTTGCAATAGTGGACCAGCCCCAGTTTTATTTGATGTATTTATCCAGTCTTCTACATATTCCTTTACTGGATTCTCTCTGCAGTCCCACTGCTTGCACTTAAGATTTGACTTATGGTAAATAACCCAGTTCTATGCACATTAACTTTTAAAGGCATTTCTAAACAAACAAATACTAAAAAGGTCCAAGGCCACATCTATATAACATTAATTTTTTATATTTAATATATATTTGACTAATTAAAAGAAAATCACTACCTGAATTGGATATTCATACTATCTTAAAGGCAAGTAGCTTCACATCTTGAAGAAAATGAAGCTGTTTCCCTTTGTCCTTCCACTCAACTAAATTTCACATTTGTCTTTGTTTACAAAGGATTTTAGACAGTGTAATTTTAAGCAAATAATTTCCATTTTATTTTGATTCCATTTTTACCTAATAATAGAGATAATTGATTATGGGTAACTTAAGATTTCTTTTCCTCACTTTAAAGATCTTAAGTTTCTATTTAGCCTTCCTAATCCTCATGAAAATCGTCACACTTGGGCATATAAACAGGTTCTTGGAGATGTGCTGAGAAAAGTAAACAGCCGGCCTTAAATATATTGCATGTACATTTATTTTTTTCTCTGTTTAACTACTGAATTTTTTAATAAAATAGAAATGAAACAGTATGTGTTAATGAAAGAAAATCCTTCTTGCCTCAGATTTCCCAACTTTATTTTGAGGGGAAAAAGTTTGTATTTCTCTTTAACCAATATAGAAAAAGGTTCTGTACTTAAGATATTTACATTCATAGTGTACATCAGATCCAATTTAAATCCAAAGGTGTAACAGCAATCAATTACTTAAGCATAAACATGTTCTTAAATGTTTGGCCTTTTTTCTGTTTCTCATTCAAGTTTGTTGGTAATTCTCACATTTTACAAACTGATATTGTTGTTTATAAAGATATAAAGTAGAATATATACCATTTTCTTTCCTTTTGCCATAAAAGTCATCTTTGTATTGTATTGTGATTTTCCTCCAGGTGAGAGAGGAAACTGACCAGGTGTGGTATGCAGGCCTAGCCTCACATATTAGGAACTCAAGAACTCAGGAATCTAAGGAATAAATACCCAGTCTCCCTCACATGAGCAGGTCAACTTTTCATTCTAAATTTAGGTAAAACTGCAAGCATGAAAAAAATAGAATTTTTCATTGCAATTTTCATAGTCAGGTAATGTTTTAGCAACTTGAAGTCAGCACTTAATTTGATTGTATTACCCATCAAAGAGTCTCTAATCTTTTCTGTTTCTAGCAGTAAAGGAAATGAATTATTCTTTATTTTCCAAATGTATTAATATAAAGCACAAATGTGATGTAGTTACTTAGAATACAAAATACTGTGAATGTAAAGAATGGAAAACTGTATTTTTGCATGAAAACAGACCACTTACAAACTTACTTTCTCAGGAAAAATGAAAAATTATATATAAAATTGATAAACTATATGTTGAATTAAGCTGGTATATTTTCTTGCCTGTTTCTATTTTAAGAAAGCATATAGGTGAAAAGAAAAAAAATGATTCCGGTAGTCAGAATTTTCTCTCAAGTATGCTACACAGTCCTTTCTGTGAATCTACAGTTAACCACAGTAAGAATGGAATTAGCATTCAAGTGAGGACAAAGCTCTAATGAGAACACATAAATGGTTATAACCCAGAGGCAATAGATACATATTACCTGGAGACAAGCATTTCTAAACTTGGTCCAAACAAAAGGTTTTCATGGGGTGACAGTGGCTTTTAAACATTCATTTGACTGATTATTTTTATTTTTCTTGTTAAGTCATTGCAGCAGTTGCATGAAGGGGAAATGGATATTTTTTGAAGAATTGCTTATTCTACTTTCAATTTTTAAAAATTGAGGAAATTTAAAAGTTACCTTTTAAATATGCATAAAAGTATATTAACTGTAATTATATTTTTAGTTGCTTTGTTATAATAGCATGCATATCAAATATACAATGCATTTATGAAAACTTTTGTAAAAAATAAAGATTTTTTTTGTTTCTCAAAGTTGCTTATAATTACTATTTTATATATTTATTTAGCATAATCCTCTGATGTTAGTATATTTGGTGATCACTGGTCATAATGCTTATGGTAAACATGGAATCAAGCTATATCACTAGGCAACATACTCTACATCCTTTGTAAGGATCCCCAAACTCCAAAGACTTATGGTCCCCCCAGAGAAGCTCTCCTTTTCTTTGCACATTTGCTATTATAAATGTGTCCTGGATTTAAGTGTATCCAGGATTTAATTCATTTTTATATTTTAAAAGAACACATGATTGTATTCAAGTTTTCCATCACGATGGCCCTTAAGCAGTATTTCCTTGTCTTTTACCCATACACAGTGGGTACACTTAAAATAGTATATTCTGCCGTGTCTAAATTATGCAGATTTTGCCTTCTCCATATATTTGCTACCATCGACTCCTATTTTCAAAGCTTTTAGTGTAGCTGGGGCCCCTCTCATCTCTTGTCTGGAATATTACAGTGCTTTTAAAGTAAGTCTTCCTGTTTCCACCTCAGCTTCCTCAAATTTCACCACCCACATTTGAGTCAGGGCAATGTTTCTAAATTGAAAATCTGGTCATGCCACTCTCCTGCTTAGTATTCCTTCAATGACTTCCCATGCTTTCTGGGATAAAGTTCAGGCTCCCTGGTTCAGCACATAAGGCCCAGGGCCTCTTCTCCAGTCCTTCCTCCAAAGAGTCTTGGTTCCAGTTATGCCAACCACTTTTTGCAGTGGCCTAAAAGCATCATGATTTTAGTCTCCTTTTCATAGAATACCCTTTCCTTTAATCTCCCTAATTCCTATCATTCATTTCTTATATCTCAGTTCAACTACCCTTTTCTCTAAGAAGCTTCCCATACGGTTGCATGGTTAACTGACCCTCTGCCACATGCCCACTAAGACTAAGTTGCTTGTGGTTGTAACCCCAGCACAGAAAGTCTGTTCCATCATGGAGGCTCAAGAAATGTCTGTTGAATAAAAATCCCCTTGGCCCTTTTACATAGGTTGCATAGTATTAAGACTGCAATACTGGCAGATACTTTTCATTTATCACTTATTTTTTCCAAATCCTGTGGACTAAGCAAAAATAAGCTGCTTTTTAGTTGAGCCCTAAATCCTGTGGATGGTACCACAAATGAAACTGCTCAGAGTTCAGGTTGCAGGGGTTTGGGGGGCAGTCACTTGATAAGAAAATGGTATTCTGAAAGATTTCCTCTGGGCTCCAGGGACTCCTATATCCATGAACTGGCTGTTTTCCCAAAAGCTTTCTTCAGAAATCTCTTAAAAATTTGGAATCTGTTTGCCCATAGAAGTTAGCATTTCCATGACTTCCAAATCCAGTCAAAACAATCAAATGACTGAACTGAAACACTGAAAGCAGAATTCTAAGTATAGATATGGAAACAATATAACAGGGAAATGGAAGATTTTCAATTTAACA